ATATTCTAGATTCTATCAAAGGTTTCTGATATTCTAGATTCTGTCAAAGGTTTCTGATATTCTAGATTCTATCAACGGTTTCTGATATTCTAGATTATATCAACAGTTTCTGATATTCTAGATTCTATCGAAGGATTCTATAATCCTAGATTCTATCGAAGGTTTCTGATATTCTAGATTCTTTCAACGGTTTTTAATATTCTAGATTCTATCAACGGTTTCTGATATACTAGTATCTATCAAAGGTTTCTGATATTCTAGATTCTATGAAAGGTTTCTGAGATTCTATTAAAGTCTTAATATGTCCCTTTCCAAAGTCCTGGTTTAGGATACAATTCCTTCAATTTATCATGGTTTAGGATACAATCACTTAAATTTATCATGGTTTAGGTTACAATCACTTCAATTTATCATGGTTTAGGATACAATCACTTCAATTTATCATGGTTTAGGATACAATTCCTTCAATTTATCCTAGGTTTAGGATACAATTCCTTCAATTTACCCTGGTTTAGGATACAATTCCTTCAATTTATCCTGGTTTAGGATACTATTCTTTCAATTTATCCTGGTTTAGGATACAATCCCTTCAATTTATCCTGGTTTAGATACAATTACTTTAATATATCCTCGTTTAAGATACAATCCCTTCAATATATTCTGGTTCAGGATACAATTCCTTTAATATATCTTGGTTTAGAATACAATTCATTTAATATATCCTGGTTTAGGATACAATCCCTTTGATATATCCTGGTTTAGGATACAATTCCTTTAATATATCTTGGTTTAGGATACAATTCCTTTAATATATCTTGGTTTAGATACAATTACTTTAATATATCTTGGTTTAGGATACAATTCCTTAAATATATCCTGGTTTAGGATACAGTCCCTTCGATATATCCTGGTTTTAGGATACAATCCCTTGAATATACAAATCGAGAATGCCGCATATATAAAATATATATTATATTTTTTGAAATCCGTGAATTTACTAGTCTTCTCTGCTTTTAACATTTTAAAGTGTTTTCATCCATTTCCTCCTTACAGCGCTATAGAAGAAGGAAGTATAAAAGTAAGCAGCGTTCGTATCTAAATTTGACTTGGATTCATCCTATAGCCCCTTTATATATACTTTTTTCACGTTAACTCCCTTTAATGTATGTTGGTTTAGGATGAGATGATAGCTGTAGGAGAGAAAGCTGTTCTCCGGGTTGTGGATCTGGTGGATTGGATTGCTCCGGGTAGTTCAGTTAACTGGGAGTACGGAGCTAAAGGAATATCTTATAAGGTAAACCTTTAAAAGGAGTTTTATGGTTTTGTTTACTTGCCTTAAACAATATTTCTCTAATCCTAATATCTTTGAAATATGATGTTGTAGACCTTTCATAATTTAAACTTTGAAATATCACATTTTTTGGTTAAATTTAATTTTTAGCCTGTTTTTTGACAAAAATGTATCTTTTAAATATTTTTGATTTTATTTTTCGTCATCCATAATTTTTTGAAAGTTGCTTTTTATTATTTATCAAATCTTAATATTGATAATATTATATAATCAAACAAACAATAATTTGAATACTAAATGTCCCTAGCTGAAGTGCCCCAACGTTGTCCTTGGAATATTTTTAAATCTAATTTTGAAAAAAATCGATTTGAAAGAAAAAATTAAAATTTTTGAATATTTAAAAAAAAATTGTCAAATTTTTATAGACTTTGTTACCCCCGCGGTACAAAAGGGTTCCCTCAAAATATTTCAGCCCATTAGGTCCAGCCGTTTGGCCCGCTATAGCTCACATAAGTGATAACCAGAAACGTTTAGAATAGGAAGACGNCATTATCATTGTCATTGTCATTATCATTATTATTATTATTATTATTTTACTAGGGGATAATGATGATGATGAACAAGGTGTTGTTGTTGTCTCTGCTCCTCACTATTTCAGGTTTTATTTTAATTTTATCTAAAAATATATTTTTTTGAGTGGGTGAGTGTTTTGCAATTAACAATAGTAAAAAAGAAATAAAAATTGAAACAAAAATAATTTTCAAATTAGATTAAATAGAATTTAAGCCAGAAGTGTTTTAAACAAGAGGCCTAATATAAATTATATATATTGAAATATTGTAAACTCTAATGGTATATTGGATTATAACTAATGAATCACCTAACCGACTTGTACAAATTTTAATTCGATAAATCAGTAGAACCACTGGAATGTTCTTAGCGAGTTCTAAGTCGAATTGGTTTCCTGGCCAAGCTGGGTTCCCAAGCTTGTAATATAAATATATATTCAGATACCGAAGTATATTGAAGAGGTTGGAGGGTTTGGAGGATAAATGGATGAAAAACAGCCTCGTTGTCGCCCTCGGAGGATTCACAACAAAAACAAGGTAAAGCACTTTTTTAAAATTTTGATATGCCAAATAAAATTATGACTTTTGATGTTTCAAACTTTGACTTTTTGACTTTTTAGAATTACGACATTAGGGTTTTTAAATTAGGGAATGAGGAGAGTTAATAAGTTCCATAAAAGGGACAAATTTGTGACTTGACTATAATACAAGCTTAATTCCTAAGTTTAACTCATTATATTGATTTTTCATCAAAACAAATATTTTTTCCGCAGAAGGAAAAACGAGTTTAATATATATAGTGCTGTCCTTCATATTTCAGGGCTTTTAATTTACCTTGAATTAAAAAAGCAGTTTCTTGAGAATTATCTAAAAACTTATGACTCTACAATGATATTTGGATATATTTTCATAAATCCTATTCAACCCTTTGGAGCTGCTAAAATCTCAGCAGCTTTCTTTTTGTGCAGACCAATGATGAAACATTACAGCTGTCATAAATTTTAAATAAATTTCAAGACGACATTTCATGCGCTTTTGCTATGTATTCATATTTGTGAGATTGGCTGTAGTTAGTGTTCTTATTGATTAATCTTAAATTTATATATAATTGATCTTAAATTGATCAGAAATGAACATAAAGGAATTGAGTCTTTGCCACAAACTTAAATCTTCTGATTCCAACATCTTTGCAATCTTTTGATGTAAACCTTTGATATTTCAAACTTAGATTATTTTATCTATAAGTATTAATAGTTTGAAATGACTAAGGTCTACAACATTGGGTTACAAAGATATAGAGATTAGAAAATAAGACTTTGTGGCAAAAACTCAACTCCTTTATCTGTAATTGACAAATCTTTAATTGATATTTAATTGATCTGGAATAGATCTGTAATTGATCTGTAATTGATCTGTAATTGAGCTCTAATTGATCCTTTAATGATATTTAATTGATCTGAAATTTATCTTTAATTGATCTAAAATTGATCTTAAATTGATCTTAAATTGATCTGTAATTGATCACTAATTGATCTGTAATTGATTTAGGAGAACAGCTGTGATGTTTGCCAAAGAGATATTTGATTATCCTGAACTCGAGGAGCATCCACAATTGTGTAATCATTTAGGTACAGTACAGTACAGTACAGTACAGTACAGTACAGTACAGTACAGTACAGTAATAGATTACAGTTTTACATGCACTATTATTATTCTTATTTTACGCATTCATTTATTTAAATTTTGTTTTCTACATTATATTATCTTTTTTGCCTTGCAATAATTTAATATTTATCTTTATATTGAGGTTCATGAAAATTTTCTTTGTAGCTTTTCTTTGCACAGTTTAAAGATTGTTGTCTATCTAAACTTATATTTTATAATAATGTTGTTGTAGCTCCGAAGTTAAAAGGCCGACCACGAAAACGCCGGAAGCATGATGTCGGTAGTCCGGAGGGATCTGAACCGGATTCAACTGGATCGGATTCTGCACAACCTAAGGTATGATTGTTTACAAAAATAGTGTACTGCAAATTTGGGAGGAATATAAACAAACTGAACATAAACTATCCCCCTAGGTCCTGAAAACTATTATTTTAAGACGAACGGGACTATCCCCCCTTGGTCCTAAAAACTATTATGTTAAGACGAACGGGACTATCCCCCCTTGGTCCTTAAAGTTATTATGTTAAGTTAAGGCGAACGGGACTATCCCCCCTAGGTCCTGAAAATTATTATGTTAAGACGAACGGGACTATTCCCCCTAGGTCCTGAAAGCTATTATGTTAAGACGAACGTGACTATCCCCCCTAGGCCCTGAAAACTATTGTTAAAACGAACGGGACTATCCCCCTTGGTCCTGAAAACTATTATGTTAAGACGAACGGGATTATCCCCCCTAGGTTCCTGAAAACTATTATGTTAAGACGAACGGGACTATCCCCCTTGGTCCTGAAAACTATTATGTTAAGACGAACGGGACCATCCCCCCTAGGTTCTGAAAGCTATTATGTTAAGACGAACGGGATTATCCCCCCTAGGTTCCTGAAAACTATTATGTTAAGACGAACGGGACTATCCCCCAAGGTCCTGAAAACTATTATGTTAAGACGAACGGGACTATCCCCCCTAGGCCCGGGGCCCGGAAGGATCTCATTAACATCCTCTCACAGAAGAACACGAAGGAGGAACTCATCTTTCTCAAGAAACTCATCAGGTACGACATATTGCAGATCGGAACCAGTCCCTTTAATATACTAGATTCATCTAAGTTTACACAGAGTCCTTTTTTTGGAAACTTGTGTTCCCTGTAAAGTAAATAATACCGTTTGATGTCTCTTTAAAATGTAAGGTTTTTAAAGAATGGCGAGAGGTTCCTTAAGTTTTAGGTTTTGTTACTTTTCGCATGGGGTCCCTTTAAACTAATTTTTTTTCAAACTTTTGGTAAAGGGAGTGATCTGCAATGTATGGTAGTTGAACTGAGAATGAAGTATTGTAGAGAAATTTTTTCGGATTATTTGAACGTTTTAATGATATATAATTACTGAGCGATAAGTCGACTTTCAAAATCAACCATTTGGGTGCTTTTATTTTGAGAATCGATTTTTTTATATTTTGAGAATCGTTTTTTTAAATTATGAAATAACGACGACAAAAAAATGTAACAAACACTCTACAGTAAACTAATTAGTTGTTTAAGAACAGGTTGAGAAAATAAAAAATTGTCAGTTATTACTTTCTGTAATTTTTCATTCTTCACTTACATTTTTTGAAGATTTTCTGAAATTTTTGTTGAAAAGAATTTGTAGAAATCTGCGAACAAATTCGTAAAGAATAAGAAACTCAATATATTTATAAGAAATAATTGATTCTAACATTGATTTATTGACAAATTTCTTTTGAGAAATATGTTCATAAACATTTAATTAGTTTACTTTAGAATTTTTGATTCATTTTTCGTCGTCGTTATTCAATAATAAGCAGTATACTAACCGAAAAATAGTCAGATTTTGTAAAGAGTATCACTATTTATATATGATTAAAACGTTTTATATCTCAAATGAATCCTAATAAATTTATCCACAACACTACATTTTCAGTTTAACTACCTAACATAGCCGGTAAATATTGTTTAGAATATTTAGATTTTGAAAAACCATTTTTAACCTGTTTACTTTTAAATTTTGAATTTTTAATAACATAATTTATGGCAAGCAGAATAAACATAAAGTTTACATTAAAAAGTATATAAGGATAAAGGAAAGTAGAAATGCAATTAAAAGAGTTGGGGGGGGGATTCTTTTTAGGTCAACCTTTTTATTACAATGCTTGATTAATATTTAATGAATTAATTATTCGATAAAGAAGAGAATACATTATTCAAAATAAAAAGTTAAGAATATAATCAAATTACATGGGTAAATAATTAGTACGTTGAATACGGTGAGCATAAAGAGACAAAAGTTTGAAGGGGGGTTTATTGTAAATTAATGGACCAGACAATGGTTTCATGGGAGGAGCGTTGTGCATCGGGTATATCCCTCTTTAAATGGAGGAACACTTGAAATTACGCTTCAGTCCCTATAATACATCAATAAGAAAAAATAACTGGATTGTTTCAGGTTTATGGAAGACAGAGGAACTCCTATTGAAAGACCTCCAATGCTCGGGTTTAAACAAAGTAAGTTAATAAAATTCTTTAAATAACTAGACATGCTTTTAAACAGCTTTTGTTTTTAGGACAGCTTATTTAGCATAGTAATCTCTAATTGATAGTTTGTATGTCCAATCATAACGCAGGAACCCCTTGACCAATTTGTCAACATTTTTTATTTGAGTTTGAATTTGATTACAAAAAATACATTTTAAGACTGGAATTGATTTCTTCCCTTACATCTTTGCAACCTGATTTTCAAGACTTTAATATTTCAAACTTTAAAAATCAGAGTTTGAGGCGAGTGTTTAATTCTTTTTAAAAAATGGATGTTTTTTCAGTTGATCTCCATCTCTTCTATGAGAAAATCTGTGAGCTGGGCGGCTATGATGGTTGTGTTACGAAGAAAGCCTGGAAGTCTGTGTACGACGACCTTGGTGGAAATCCATTAAATACTAGTGCGGCAACATGTACACGGCGCCATTATGAAAGGTTAAGCTTAAGAAATTATTTAAACTTTCAAAATTAGATAACTTAAAGGGTTCATGAAGTAATTTTAAATTTAAATTAAGTTTATTGTCTCTTTAAATTCAACAACTAATAATTGTTTATTTGATTTGATTTAAATAATTCTGATGATTTAATCAGATTCTTGTTTTAGATTTCTTCTACCATTTGAACTGCATATGAGCAGTGATGAAGGTAAGGGAGAGATAACTCTGGATGAAACTTCTGGAAACCTGATAAACGGAGACGAACCACTAGAAGAGGAAGTTAAGGAACCCCCTACCGTCGAGAAAGTCGAGGAAAAGAAGGAGGTTAAACCCTTTGGACTTAAACCTCTTCAGCTTCTTACGGAACCCAGCTTGCATCAAAGCGAAGAGGAAAACAAATTAAAAATCGATGATTTGATCATAATTCCGAACAGTTTAAATCCTCTAGAGGAGGGAGGTTCTGCCCTCCAGAACCTCGCTAAGATCGCCAGTAGATACTCCTCGTTAAACAAGGATAAATCAAGGGCTCAGGACTTTACTAGTCCCAGTGCCAAGAAACCCAGGGTTGAAGATAAACCTGGAGTAGCCCAACCTCTTCCTCCTACCACCCTTAGTAAAAAGACGTCAAGTCACACCTCCTCCCTTCCCCTCTCCCCGCATTTAGAATCTAAAAATGCCGCCACAGCCAGTGCTCTTCTTCAGCAGTTCTCTTTACTCTCACCAGGACTTTTCGGAGCCTGGCCCGGAGCAACGGTTCCTCCGACTGCTTCTCCATCATCAAGTACATCTCCATCCTCCAAATCTCCGAGCAGTTGGTTATCAGGTTTTAACCTTGATTCTAAACCTGGGACAGATGGGTACAATCTACTCAAGTATTACGAGCAGCAACTAAAGGCCTTGCAGCAAGGAGGAGTACCATCACCAACAACTAGTGCTAGGGTTAACGGAACTAAGGAAACTCCGGTTAAAAAGGAATCTAAGGCGGGGAAAGAGAAACAGAAAGTGTGTAAACCTCCCCCTGATACCAAGAAACCACCCAAATTACTGCAAAGTCCTTGTCAATTCTTGCAAACATCTAACATTTACGGGAGTCCAAAATCTGATCTCATCCGGGCCAAAGAGTCCGCTTCTAAGAAGGATGAGGGAGGAGAGATGGATCTAAACCCGAACCAGGTTCTAGATCTTAGCTCTGGGTCTAGTATGGAGTTCAGAACTATCTCCCCGCACAGATCTGCTCCACCAAACAACTCCAGTACTGGAGCTTTCAACCTCTCACGCCCGGAGGTCAGCCGAGAACCTGAGGATCGGAGTAAGGTTGCTGAGGCTAGTCTTGATCTCACGACCGGTCGTAGTAGTACCCCTAGGTCGGATACATCTAAAATGTCCCCATTCTCAGCAGAAGCACTTCTCAGCCGACCCAGTTCCAGGAAAAATGATTCTCCTAAAAGTTTCCCACCTTTAAGTATGGGTATACGAGGAATCCTTGAACCTGAGCGCTCCACGCCCCAATCCTCCTCCCCCTGGCTGCCCCCGCCTCCCAAACCTGCAGCTCCAGTGCCACCTGTAGTACGGAGTACAGCGGGACAGTTTTATGGGATCTCTCTACCCTCTACTATGTCCGGGCTTCACGGACTCTCCACAGAAACAACGTTCTCTAGTCTCTCCAGCCTTCCAACTTCTAGTCTTCAACCCTCATCAGCCCCTCCCACCACCAACCCGTACTTACAAGCCTTGATGTCTCCGTTTAGTAAACCACCAGGATCAGCAGCAGCATCTCCAGCTGCTGCCAGCTTCCCTGGACTTAATAGTATGGATCCGTTATCCCAGTACTATGCTGCTCTTTACAGTCAGCAGATGTCAGCTTACAACGCTGCTGCTCTGGGACCGTACGCAGCAAGTTTATCTGCGGCGGCAGGGCTTGGCGGTCACGGCGGGCTGGGATCAGCAGGAAGTCTAGCAGGTCTAGGCGGGGCTTCAGGATTGGCGGGACTAGGACTATCCAGTAGTTTAGGAGCACAAGGAATAGGACTTGGCTCAGGATTAGTTTTCAGCTCTGCTGGATTAGGATTTAATTCACCAGGGTCTGGACTGGCTTCCACCGCAGGACTTCGGCAGGGATATATGTCTAGCACAGCCACTGCTGAGCTTCAGGCACTTCAGGCATACAAGGATATGATGACTAGATCTGCTATGAGTAGTGTACAACAACCCTCACCTAGCTCTAGTGCTGCATCGAACCCCTACGCGGCCCTGTACGCAGGTCTAATGGGGTATCCTGGGTTCCTTCCCCCTAGGAAAGATCAGTAAGATACACAAAGTGATGAAGCAAGCACTGAAAAAAAGTGTTTTAATTTAGAGAAATATAAAAACGAGAAGTTGAAGTTTACACCATGATTCTCTTAGATTTGTACAAAATACTAAATGAATCAACCCAGCATTTGTGTACATTGTAAAATGACACACAGTGAACCAGTTTAATACACATGGATATCTTCTAATCATTATGAACAGTGAACACAATGAACCAACTAAGATATTCTGCTAAGCGTGTTCCACTGCACATATCCACGAGGTTTATGAGAAAACCTTTAACTCGTCGTTTTTTATTTTTTTTATAGTTTTATGTAAAACAGTTGATTTTGTCCGTCTTTTCTTGTCGAAAATTGGAAATCATTAATTTATCTTTACATTTGAGAATTGACAGTTTATGAGAGAGAAACCCCTTTAAATTAGCAGTGTAGTACAAAAACAAACATTAGAAAATTAATCTTCATTTTTTTGCCAAAAAAAAAGATGCAAAATATCATTTTCTTATTTATTGCATTTGAACAACTTTCTTGTAAAAAAAGGAAGAAGTGATAAGGCATTTCTGTTTTATTGTGATAAATGTTAATAATTCACTTTAGTATACAAGTGTACAGTGTACACTGTAAATTAAACAATGTTCAATGTACAATGTACAATGTACAATGTACAGTGTACAATGTACAATGTACAATNTGGATTTCTATCCTAGAAGAAGATAGAAGATTTCCCCCCTGGTGGAATTCTGTCCTATGAAGAAGATAGAAGATTTCCCCCTGGTGAATTTCTATCCTAGAAGAAGATAGAAGTTTTCCCCCTGGTGGATTTCTATCCTAGAAGAAGATAGAAGTTTTCCCCCTGGTGGATTTCTATCCTAGAAGAAGATAGAATGTACAATATACAACGTACAATGTACAACGTACACTGTACAACGTAAATTTTTTTCTCGCAATGTTTCTTTTGTTAGCTTTTATTAAATCAGCCATTTATTTAGTTACAAACTTTCTGAAGTATCATTATTCAAGTTTTCATACCATCGAATACATTGATCGCAAAAAAAAAGTCAAATTACAATCATCATGTACGATTGTGTACTGTACTACAGTTCACTCTCAGAGTAGAGATGAATATTGGATATGATGCATGTTTTTAAGCGTGTCACGCGCGATTATCAGAATGTCTTTCACGCGGTGGTAAATTCATGTTTATTGTTTATATTACATAATTTCATCAATTGTTGTTTAGAAAGAATAGAATAAAATTTGCAAATATGTTTAAAACTTTTTTTGCATCATGCTGATTGCTCAGAGTCTCAGCAAGAACGTTATAGAAGGTAGGGGGCACATTTATCTGGGAACTCTTAATCTGCAGAATAATTTAATCAGAATTTAAAGAATTTTATCCAGGTCTAACCCTGGCTGAACTTACAGCCGCTGCTTACAGCCGATTCAAATTTGAACCACCGATTATAATCTTTAACTTTAAATCGGCGGTTTAGCAACGCAGCTCAAATTTTTTAATTCGGTATCTATTCGACAACCCGGCCACATGGTAGTCATCATACCCAAAGGTATGATTAATTTTATCTTTAGTAAAAATTCAAGGAAGAACTACACGCCCCTGTTGTGAGACCAAAAAAACAATTTGTCAAATGTTCATTGAAGTGTTAAAAATCATATCTTGAGTATAACAAGTAACAATCACCTTCCTAGAGTCCACAGTTATATGAGTCCTACAGTAACTACTAAAATAAATAGTTTGCTTTGGAGAGGAAAATATGCTGTTTCAGAATTTTAATTTACATTTCATTTCCATTTGTTCATAAATGGGTGGAATTTAAAACCCTAGGTCAGTAACAATCCAACCTAATCTTTTTGGTTCGTTTTCAAAAAAACTTTTTAAAGGGACCGGCTATGTTAGGCAGTTTAACTGAGTATGCAGTGTTGTGGAAAACTTCTTTCGGATTCATTTGAGACATATTAAACTCTTTAAAAATCTGTAAATCTTAAGTTGGAGCGCAAACTCAACGTTCAAAATTCCTACTTTGGGGGTAGATACGTTTTCAGAATTAGTTTTTTTTAATTTGTAAATAACGACGACATAAAATGTAAAAAAGTTCTACAATAAACTACAGACGTCATGTAAAGGAACATGTTGAGAAAATAAAAAAAAAATAATCTTATCATCGAAAAAAAGTAATCTTGTTTAATTATTAGTTTCTATTTTATCATTATTCACAAAGATGTTCTGCAGATTTTTTAGAATTATTATTGAAAGACGACATTTGAAGAATTTGAAGAAATCTGCGAATAAATTCAAAGAAAAAAAAGAAATTCAATATGATAATGTAAACGAAATAATCGGTTTTAGCATTGATTTATTGACACATTTCTTTTGAGAAATATGTTCCTTACCATCTAATTAGATTACTGTATAATTTTTACTTTATTTTCGCTCGCGTTAATTAAAAAATTTTAAAAAACCAATTCTGAAAACGTACCCACCCCCAAAGTAGGAGTTTTGAACGTCGAATTTGTGCTTAAACTCAGGATTTACAGATCTTTCATAACTGTATTATGTATTATGTATTATGTACACTGTACAGTAGTCGGCGATAATATCAATACTATAAAGACGACTTTCTTATATAAGTAATGAAAGAGAAGCTTTTTAATTGGCAATTTTTGTCCACTATGTTTTATGCGTATCCGTATTGTTTAAAAGCATAATATAAATCATGATTTTAAACGAAAGTCGTCTTCATTTATTGATATGATCGCTTACCACTGTGTTATGTATTATGTATATTATGTATTATGTATTATGTATTATGTATTATGTATTATGTATTATGTATTATGTATTATGTATTATGAATTCTGTATTTTCTCTCATACAAGGTCAAAATTTGCCATAGAGTAAGAAAAGCAAATTTGTAAAAGAAACAATTTGAATCTTGTGAAACTTCCCAGATGTTTGTAGAACCTCTACAACAACCCTACTTGTGCAGACTCGCGGATTAATATCTAGCTCCTCTTCGATATCCCGTAGTGGTCATACCTTGCTGGGATAACTTAAATTTAAAACTGCCCACTTTGTTTATCGAGTGGTTCAAGATTAAAGATAGTTCACACACTCAAAAGTTTAGACCTTAGTTTAAAAATAAAAAATCCTATGCAGACACTTTAGGTTTTTGGCGTCTTTCTGTAGATCTTCAATATTATATTTGGTCGTCTTCAAATTGTCATTTTTAGTGGGACACACTGTATACAAGTAATCATTGTTCCCGTCTGCTTTTAAAAAATCATCACTTTTTAGTTTGTTAGAACGTGACCTATAGGGGTTCAAACTTCATCATCGTTATTTTTATAATTTATAGACAATATTAATTATTAGAAAGTTTTTTTTCGATTTATTTAATTATGAGTAACAAATTTTAGTTTACAAATTTATTCTTATTAATGTTTAGATCACAATTTTAAAAGTTTAAACTGAGTTAATTGTTAATCAAAATTTTATCATTAAAATTTATTAAAGATTATATGTTAACGCCTCATTTATATGGAATATGTTATATTCGTAAAAAACAAAAATAGATAATTTTCTTTAGAAATATGGATGAAAGATTAATTTTGCTAGAAATATTCCCATTTAAGTAGAAGATGTCTCTCCTTGGAAGATTTTGAAAAAAGAATATTTTTATTTCGGGGGAAAAGAAGATAGAAGCTTTCCTCTTTGGGGGATTATTAATTTTTAAAAAAAGATAGAAGATTTTCCCCTGGTGGATTTCTATCCAAGACAAAGAAAGAATATTTCCCCCTGGTGGATTTCTATCCTAGAAAAATATATTAGATTTCCCCCAGTTGGATTTCTATCCTAGAAGAAGATAGAAGATTTCCCCCCTGGTGGAATTCTGTCCTATGAAGAAGATAGAAGATTTCCCCCTGGTGAATTTCTATCCTAGAAGAAGATAGAAGTTTTCCCCCTGGTGGATTTCTATCCTAGAAGAAGATAGAAGATTTCCCCCCTGGTGGATTTCTATCCTAGAAGAAGATAGAAGATTTCCCCCTGTGGATTTCTATCCTAGAAGAAGATAGAAGATTTCCCCCCTGGTGGATTTCTAACTCTGATCTGTGGTTTGGAATCTATGGCCGGTTTCCTTTCTTTCTCCTCATTAACTCTGAAAAAAAAACATACAATGCAATATTAAATTTTTTCTGCTGATCAGTGCTCTTGAAGGGAGGTATAGTGGTTAAAAAAATGTCAATGAAAACGGACAATTGTTTCACGTAGAGCTATGTTATGCCTTCTCAGAACAGACTGAAAACTTTAGAATGGTGGATATCGAGATCAATGCTTGATCCTCTCTTTTTCTTAATCTCAAGACTAACCTAATCTTGTGTTTGTATCCTGAAAAGTGTATAAAATTCAACCAATCAGAGTGGAGTATCAGAAGCCGGGAAATTTAAAATTTTGCGCGCCATTTAATAAGAGTTCTCTTCTTTAATTAAGATTAATCAACAGAGACGGGAGGGACTTTCTAATTTTTTAAAAAACTGGTTTTTGAATTTTCTGTACTATATCCAAAAAGAGTGGATTAAGCAATTGTCCACATAGGATATTCGGATTAAGCAGTCGAGATTGAAGATATCCCATTCTAAAGTTCCAAACTCTGGTTTTATTTAAATCGTATCTTTTACTTTTTGCCTTTTATTCCCATTGTGCCTGGATGCATGCTGGTTAGTTGTACCTGGATGATGCATACTATTTATTTGTACCTGGATGATGCATGCTGTTTATTTGTACCTGGGAGATGCATGCTGTTCCAGAGAGAAGCTTGAATCATGCACATTTGTAGATGTATTTCCATCCTCAGCTGGAGGAGTAGGTCCTGAGTTCATGTCAACATACATGTCCTAAACAAACAAAGTTGACCCATTTGCACCAATACGATTTTTATGCTTTAAAATGGTTATTGTAGGGCTTAAATGGACTGTAAGCGTAATTTCTAGTGACCTCGCATTTATGAGATGCATGTCCGATTCACAATAGTACCCTTAATTAAACCTTTGTCCAGACAACGAATAGGGAGAGTCAAGGTTACAGTGTACACTGTACTTAGGGCTGGGCACGTTCCGACTTTTTTAAAAAGGGCCTCCAGCTAGATTGTTCCGTTCTCGTTCGTTCTTTTTCCAATCGTTCCATTCAATTCCCTTCATTCCCTTCTTAGTTTTCTTAGTAAAAACCGATCCATTCCATTCTTTGTGTTCTTTAGTCAAGAGCGGTTCAATATCCCAAGTGTTGATAAATTATTTATGTAATTTTCTTAAGTGGACTCTTAATAAGCTTCAAGGGGCGAAAAATGTCTACATTTTTATAGGATTTATTGCATAAATAATATCTTATAATAATCGTTCCAATATTTTTAAGAACGCGTTTTATGTGTTTTCTTATTTCGGAAAGATGGGATAGTTCTTGATAATTCCGTTCGTTCTCGCGAAAGAACGATAGTTCCCCAGGAACGAGGCCCAGCCCTAATTGTACTCTCCGTGCTAGTGTACACTTGCGCGGTTTCTTGGCACTTAATTTCCCGCAATATATATATAAGAACATCTACGAAATCCTTGATCAAACAAATGTTTAAAGGGTTTCGAATTGAAAATCTGAAATGGCACTCTATAAATTGAAGATCACTTGATATTATGCTTACAGTCCCTTTAAAGGGACTGTAAGTACAGTTAAGAGTGTAGCTGCAGATATATAGATAGGCATTTTAATTCTTCTTATCATAATGGTAAAAAATGTGACCTCTTCTGATCTAAAGACCGGGACCCATTTCCTCGCCTGCTCTTCCTCCGTCAAGCGAACTCTAAGCAAAATTGAATATTTAAAACACTGCCAAAATATATTCTCGAGATGCCCTCCTCTTTCTTCTTTATGTATTAAAATAAAAAAAAAAACATTTTTTGTATCTTTAGTTTTGCACTGCATTTAACATTTTAGCATATATTCCTAGTATTTTAGTATCAATTCAAGCACTGAAAATAGTAATTTTAATTGTCCAAACTGTCTCCAGTAGTTTCTAGATATGTCCGCCTGATAGGGGTTAATTTAAAAGATGTAACAAATACTATTTTTCTATTGTTCTTCTTTCATACTTTTGAAAAACTCTCTAAAAAAAGAATACTGTAGAAAAAAACTGTTTGTTATTTGTCCCGAATAGTTGCATCGTTTGATATACAACAGCAACCTAGACATAAGTTCAAATGAAAATCTATATATGTATATATTAGGATGTCTGTCTGTTTTTTTCCAATAAACGTCAAAACGGTTGAACCGATCGGGTCCAAATTTTGTGTGGGACCTAACATGACCCCAGGGAAGCTTTGTGGAAGTTCAAAATTTCAAAAACAAGTCTCCAACAAAATTCGATTTTTATCAAATTTAAAAATCCACGAATTTTATTTTATAAAATCCGCAAACTTTTCTTTATTGTATTACAATGTATACATAGAGAAAATGTTTACAATTGAAAATGAAACATGGGCGCAAATCGGCTTGAAAGCTTAATAATGCTATATGACAATGGAAAATTACGTTGAGTCATAAATAAAATTAGTTTAAAGAGGAAAGATATAAATTGCATAAAAAAAATACCTATCGTAAACATATGGTGAGAAAGGTGGGGTGGGCACAAACTTGCCCGCCCCCTTCGCCATCTTGAGCTGACCCTCTTCTACTACTATCCGACCTCCTGTCAGGACCCATTCAGCTACACCATGCACCTACAGGTAAAACGGGGATAAAGTCGTCTTTCTTCAAGAATTTTATTAGAAACAAAAAAACTTTAAAAATAGAAGTACAAGTGAAAGTACGATATAAAATACAAGTACAAGTGAAAGTACGATATATGAAAGTACGATTAAAATACAAGTACAAGTGAAAGTACGATTACAAGTGAAAGTACGATTAAAAATACAAGTATAAGTGAAAGTACGATTAAAAATACAAGTACAAGTGAAAGTACGATTTAAAATACAAGTATAAGTGAAAGTACGATTACAATACAAGTACAAGTGAAAATGCAATGTATAAAAGTGTAACTAAAAATAAGTTTTTAAGGAACGATCAAGATGACTCTTGTGAATGTACGAAGGGTTTTTATATCTCTTATCTCAATAATTATTAACTCACATGGGTTACCTACAAAAGATGAGACTAAAGACGACATGATACTCTATAAACATTAAGTTCTAGAGGTCTAGTGTCGTATATGGTATTTGAAAATTTTGCCAAGAAAGAATTTATGAAAAAACCACGGAAGATATTCCATACACTATAAGTACTTGAAGCGTACCTCCATTCCTTCGAAGATATTGAAATCCACGGCATGATGATGGGTTTCAGCTGAAATTGTTCGGGTTTGATTTGGATTCCAGATTACAATATCAGCATCAGACCCAGGAGCTATCACACCTAGACAAAACAGTTGGAATTAGGGCTAAGTCCCGTAAAACTAACTACATCAAATATGTTTAGTTATATATTGATCTCGCATACAAAATACCCATAAATGGCGTAGGCTAAGAGATATGAAAAATAGAAATAAAAAACGTAGCCAAACAAAAAAACTATAAATGCAGTGATAACTAGAATACTCTGAAATTAGTAAACTATCTAAAGTCAAAACTTAAGTCTAAAAAGTCGTCTTCCTATTTCAGAGTTTTCTGGTTATCATTGTAGCAACTAAAAAAATCTACATTTACTTGGTGAAAATGCGTTGTAAGGAATTCTAGGTTACCAAGACCTATTTCGTCTATCAAAGTCAACGCTATACATAATGCATATACGCTTTATACAGGGTTACCGAAAAGGATGAGACTGTAAAGACGACTATAAACAGAAAATATGACGATTACAAGGTTAAATTAGACCTTCTGCCTTGAACATAGTCTTTTAACAGCCTGTCATGGCAACGAAAAAAAAACAGTTTACAGTTGCAGAGAATCCTAAATATAAGAAAATAGACAGTATGAATTCTGTACAGTCGTCTCTGAAGTCTCATCCTTTGTGGGTAACCCTGTATGTATTGATTAAAACGTGTAATAAATAAAAACTTTAAAAAGGCAATCATAGATGGTTTTTAATTCTCTCAAAGCCAAAACAACTGGAGAATGTGGATGTTTGTAAAGTGAATAAAACGTATGAGTGTGTTCCTTTTCTATTTCTATAATGTGAAAGGTTCAGAAGAAAAAAAATTATTAAATTTCGTATCATACTGTAAAAAGAAAAATTACGTCTCTCCAATTGTATTAAATAAAATGCTGTTCCCTTACCATTTGAAACAAAATGATTTCTTGATATATTTTTATGATGAAATGATTTTACCTTTTTTAGGATAAATATTAAAGATCTTGGCAGCCGTTGTAGAAGTTACAGCAACAAACCTTTCAGGAGTCATCAAACCTTAAAATGTTGATTTTTAAACTCAAAAATTAAAACCTGGAAAATAATAAACGACCATTTTGGCGATCCCCACCCCCCCCCCATCCCCACTAAAAATGCATTAATCAAATGATTGTAACATTTATTTTGCTTATTTTCAACTATAAAACTTGGATCTTAATTATGAAGCTTCTTAGTTACGGAAACTTCTTGAATACGAAACTAGCAAATTATGCAATAAATGATCTTTGAAAGAAAACAGTTTAGATTTCAGATAATTTTAATATTTATCGTAAATTTTTCTTTCATATATGTTACACGTTAGTTTATGCAATTTATGCTTTTTTTAAAACGTAAAAAACGAGTTTTAGCAAAGGTAAGAACTTTTTAATTACAGAAAGGGTTTGACTCGTTGGCAGATAATTTAACTCCTTCACGTTTAAACTTTGGATAATTGGTTAAAATTAATAATAAATGTAGTGATTTAAAAAAATGACTATTTAAACAAAACAAATATATGATGCGATTAGCTAATCTCCGCGCAAGGTGATAGATAATTTCAAATTATTCCATGCATTCAAAAGTTTTCGTCCCGGGTCTTTGCTACACTTTAAGGGAGAGACCGACAAGGTAACGTACATGAACCAAGAGTGCAGTAAATTATAAACAAAAATTCGTTTATATAATTTTACCAGAAGGGACGGTTCGCAGCAGAAAGATTTTTTACTATTACTTAATAACCAGGACGAAAAATGTTTATATCTGTTTATATCTTTTCATGTCATTTTGATGGCTAATATTAAGTGCGAAAAAGTTTTTGCCGGGATTCTTTGTTTCTATTTAGTTTAAGTTCAAATTGAAAGTATTTTCACATCGAACGTTGTGAGATTTTAAAATTTTTTGATTTGGAATTTTAATAACAGGGTGAAAAAGATACTTTTTCGCCCTGTCGTAGGGCGATAAAGTCACTTAATCACCCTACAACGGGAAATATTATAAATTCCATCAAAATTGAATAAAGTATATTCTCTAGCCGGTCTCTTCCTTTATAATTTACCTGAAGCAACTCCCTTCTCCCAGATAACACTCATCCTGTCCTCAAGTCCGTTCACACCGTTAGGGATCTAGGAACACATGGTATACCTTGGATATTTAAAGGGACTGTTAGGGATCTTGGAACACATGGTATACCTTGGATATTTAAAGGGACTGTTAGGGATCTAGGCACACATGGTATACCTTGGATATTTAAAGGGATTGTTAGGGATCTAGGCACACATGGTATACCTTGGATATTTAAAGGGACTGTCGTCAAATGTTTCAAGAGTTACCCATAGAAGCACAGCGTGGTCCCTTTAAACTTCTTTATTTATGGCAAAATGTCGAGTATTTGTTTTTCTATCTAAAAATTGAAACTTTTCAAATATGGTTTTAAGTGAAATGGGGACATTGACTACCTTAGATACAAGCACGGACCTTTAATAGGACTGTCGTGGGCCGGCTACTCAGCGAAATTGGGGTTTAAACCGTTGAGAATCTAGCATATAACTCTTTAAATTCCAAAAATTAGGATTTTAAGATTGTTTTTTTTATTGAACCAGCTCTTTAATTTAAAAAATGTAGAAAATTTTATATTCAATTTAATTTTGATTTATATTCAAGGTATAATTTCCTTTGTAAAATCATTAATGCCGGCAGCCTTCTGTGCAGATGAGAAAGTACAGTTATCCGTGCCTGTACAATCCAGATCCCCTCGTGCTAGCAACTAAATATACATATAGCAGTTCAGTACAGTGTACAGGTGTCCGTGCCGGTACAATCCAGATCCACTCGTGCTAGCAACTAAATAAACATATAGCAGTACAGTACAGTGTACAAGTGTCTGTGCCTGTACAATCCAGATCCTCTCGTGCTAGCAACTAAATATATATATAGCAGTACAGTACAATGTACATGTGTCCGTGCGCCGGTACAATCCAGATACCCTCGTGCTAGCAACTAAATATATATATAGCAGTACAGTACAATGTACATGTGTCCGTGCGCGTCTGTACAATCCAGATACCCTCGTGCTAGCAACTAAATATATATATAGCAGTACAGTACAATGTACATGTGTCCGTGTGCTGGTACAATACAGATCCCCTCGTGCTAGCAACTAAAAATATAAATAGCAGTACAGTACAATGTACTTTTGTCCGTGCCTGTGAGACTTTGATGAAGACACAAAACTTTTTTGCTTTAGCGATATATGATGAGAAAAAAAATGTTCATTCCTTAAATAAACTCATTTAATGGTATAATTGTTATATTCATTTATATTGTTATATAACTTGGCTAAAAATGAAATAAGTTTAAAACTGCAGAGAAGCATGAATGCAAGAAAAAAGAACGAATAAACTCTGTAAAGCTTACATACAGCAGAGGATTTCGTATGAACTATATGTTTATAGTTGATATATCTCTGCAAAAAATGTCCAGAGATAAGAACTTTGTATTGTGAACTTGAACATCTCGGGATATGGAGATCATGGCGTTGTGTCACACAAAGTTTTGACTCCATTTACCATTTTGAAATAAAACACTTAAATCTTTTGTAACAAATTAAATTCAAAATAAAAAATGTTTATTTTATTATAAAAAATAGATACCTCCATCAAATAATTTGGAGTCGTTACATCCTCTCTATAAAATTAAATCAAAACAAAAGTTTTTGTGTAATTACTGTCCCTTGGGATATTGAGACAAGGAAAACTGGTTTTTCTATAAAATATAGCTCTTCAATCGCACATTCTTCTATGGCTGGCCAAGCGGCTAAGACAAATTGGCTGACATTTTTTTGTTTATTTCACGGGCAACGCCGGCACTTCAGCTAGTATTTAATAATATGAAAAGGAAATTTTTATGACTAAAAGAAGTGCCCGGCGTTGCCCGGAAAAAAAACAAATGTAATTTTGAAAAAAACAAATTTTTGAATTTTGAAAAAATAATCGAATTGTTTTGCCTTTGTTACTCCCTGGGTAACCATGAGTTCCCTCAAAAATGTCAGCAAATTCGGTCCAGCCGTTTAGCCAGCTGTTGCGAAGCTTTATTATATAAATATATGAATGAAAGAGGTTTATTTACTACTATGATTTTTAATATTAGGAGAGGAAATTTTTTTCGATTACTGTTCTTTTTATATTTAAATCCTTTTAATATCTGAACATGACAATAGTTTTTTTTTATAACTTTCCCTTCAATGTTAAAAAACGAACAGTTTTTTTTCACATACTGTCGACTATTTAGTATTATTATAGAACAGGAAAATGTTTGTTTTGAAGAACTCTTCTTCTATTTTTTTTCAAGAACTGGTCTTTAAATATAATATAAAAATAGATTGAAAAGTAGAATGAATTATTTACATTTTAAAATTTAGTTCTGATATATTCCCTGAGTGGAGGAGAGAGTACATATGCCGCGGCATGTTTCCAACAGGTGTGATAATAATGGCTGCCATCCACAGCCAAGCTAGCAGCTATAGGTTCACCGAAAATAACAATCCCATCCTAGAATAACAAGATAACTTTTCCTTATTATTCCACAGTTTTATGAAGCATAAAGTCTGACCGCGTCAACCTTGTTGTACCGGCTAGTCCTGTCCATAGAGCTAGGTACAGTACAAACTGGAACCGGAAAGGTTGACCCGGCTCGGAAATCCAAATGTACTACGGCTGCCTGTGGTCACTGTAGCAGCTATAGGTTCTCCAAGATTAACAATCCCATCCTAATGATCAGAAATCAAAAGTTTTGAGTTGTTAATCCTCAGATTAAGCATTGATCTTCACATTTTGCAGACTTAAGGATCAAATAATTCCTATTTAACATTCTTTAGATTTCTTTACTATAAGTTTTATCTTTATAAGGTAAGAACCATCATGAATTATGTTTCAATAATAATTTTTATTGTGTGTTCAAATTACCTTTCGTTTTTGTAGAATGATATTTGCAGCAGATTTCCCCATTACATGAACAATGTAGAGAGGGCACTTAGTTTGACCAGCCTGAAATATACATTGTGTCCCAAAAAAAACATGACAGTTAAAAGGCGCCATTTAATATGCATTTCATTGTTCAAACTGAGAACTAATCCCTTTTTTTGTTGAAACAAAGTATTGTTTAAAAGAAATGTTTTGATTAATAATATTAATAATATTATATAATATGTGTCTTTTAAATATTATTATATTATTATTAATATACGAAAAGTGCACCCATCCGACCTACGAAAAATGCCCATCCGACCTACAAAAAGTACCCATCTGACCTACAAAATTGAGTGGCCGTCCGACAGCTACAATTAATTATTTCTACCCTACTGCGCTATAGGCATGACAAATTAAGCTGCTGAATAGGTCAGATGTTGCAGTAGGTCGGATGGGCAGTATATAGCGGATGGGCGTACGGATGGGCAGTAGAGCGGATCAACATTACCATATCTCAGGTCAACAGAATTTGGGTTGCAATGATAAAGATATTAGAAAATCTAAGTTTGTGACAAAGACTCAATTCCTTTGTAACGAATTTACTGTCTGATTGGCTTATAAGAAACGTAAACACACATATTCTGTATTCCGATGTTCTACTTTACATAAAGTCGTCGTCTTATGGTATAAATCATTACAATGAAGACGACTTTCTATTTCAATTTTGATTTCTACCAAGCTTTGAAACAGCAAAGACGTATAAATATGTAAGCAAAGAGAAGTTTTCAATTTACACCTTCTCTTAGTTTACTTGCAATTTGAACAACGCTTGTCGGGGATCAAAGCATTATTAGTAAAAATTCGTCTTCATTTTATTGATATAAACGCCGATCATTGTATTTTTATAATAATATGTCTCACGATTAAGCAAGCTCTCATTGTAGCTTCCTCTTCCACCTCTTCAGGTCGGGATAAAGGATGTCCTTCAGGTCCTAAACAATAATACAATATTTTAGGTTTCCATTCGAAATACATGCGCATTAATAGTCTTTATATTTAAGATTTTAAGCCATTTAGAATAAGAAACATGTATTGTACTAGTTTTTTGTGGGGTGGGGTGGAGAGTGTGCATGACAACAGTTCTCCTTAGATCACTAAAGTTAAGCACACTTGTCCACAGTCAGTAACTGGATTGGTGTCCAGACTGGTGTTCAAGGGTTCGATTCGGCCGTACTCCACACAAACCTGTGGTTACAAAAACATCTGAAGCCGACATCTGGTTAAGCAGTTATGACCACTTGACGGATGTAGGAGGACAGAGGGGCGGCTGTCAACAACTCTCGCAGCGAAACGGTGCGACTGCGTGCTTTCTACTCAACAAGAAAGAAGCTTCAAGTGTGATTGATCCAAGTGAATGATGATGACGAGAGGAATGGTGGACAAGCAGGGAGAGTCTATGGTTGCCAGCTATAGGTACCTGGGGGTATCCAATCCGGGATGTTAGGGAGCAATGAGTGTGATGTTTCCTATCAGCAAGGCACCCGGGCCTCATTCCAGTATATCGGAAGGATCCCTGCACTCTATATTCTCAGGCCTAAGAAGAATCTTAGGCAGCTGGAATCTTGTCAACCCTCTTCTCAGAATGAATGAAGCGTGGATGGATAAATGTGCTGCCAGATTACAAACCCTGGAAGATCAATATAAAAACCCAGACAACACACCAACACCAAACTTTCGCAATAGAAAAAATTCCGAGATTTGATCGTAACAACCCGATCATGTCCTGGGGACAAACAAATCTCTTTTAAAAGTTTTTTGGTTTGATGCACTGTCACATTTTGATTATATGTTTAATGTACAGTGTGCTATTTCCTCTGGCCGCCTATAGGTTAGTCTTGTACTTTAAATGAACCAGATTTTCAGTATTCTGTACTTTTACGGTACTGTACTGCACTGCAATTTACCTTAAAACATTCAATAATTTCATTATCCTCTAGCATTATAACATCCTTGTACGCCATGAAGACCTTGAAGGAGTTGATTCCAAACTCCTCACCCACCATCTGCCTAATATCATTATTAATTTATTATTATTGTTACTATATTCTGCCCATGGGTACCCATGGGTACGTAGGGGGTAATATAAGCTAAAAAATAGTCTTTTAAACCTTATTTTTTTTAGATTAAAATTTTTCTTCTTCAAAATTTGATTTTTTCATTCCACGGGCAACGCCATGCACTTGAGCTATTAATACTTAATATAGCGCTTTGCACGCAATATGTAATACTAGCTAGAGGACCCGGCAATTCCCTTGAAATTTTTTTAAATTTGAAAAAATTATTGAAAAAAGAATTTTTTATTTTTTTTATATTTTGTTTTTTAAGACTAAGACATCTCCGGCTACCCATGAGTGTCCACAAAAAATTTCAGCCCATTTGGTCTAGCCGTTTATATAGCTAGACAGGGTGAGTAAATAAAAACAATGATTATCGATGTATTTGACAAAATTTTCTAAATTTTTATTTTGTTCAGCTTTTAGGCATAAAAAAATGAAATGTCAAAAAAAATTCTCAAACATTTTTGGAGCATTGAATAAAAAATTCGTGAAACCAATATTATTTTTGACAAAATTTTTAATTTTTTTATTTTGTTCGGCTTTTAGACATAATTAAAATAAAATGTGAGAAAAAAATAAAAAAGTATTTTTGGAACATCGAAAAAATCCGCGGAACCATTATTATTTGCAATTATTTGCATTTTTACATTATATCTGATAACATTTACTGCAGCAGATTTCCACTCTAACTTTTTTGCTGATTTGTTGTTTTGTTTTTATACTATTCAATTTTTGATTATTGCTTGCCAACATTTTTTCGAAATAATTTAATTTTAAAAAAATAGTTTAGCGGATTTCTTTTGTCAATGTTCCAAAAATGCAACACGATAATCCCTGTAATATTTTGACCCTGTACATATATATATTTATATATTAGCAGTAACTGGACCAAGTTGGCTGAAATTTTTGGGAAACCCTTACAGTATTCTTCTTCTTATTAACATTATTTTACTTACTTCATCTCTTGTCTCACATTATCATCCCAGTGTGTAACCGCCATATGCAATGCATAATCACAACACACCTAGATCAGGCAGTAGAACTCATTAAACTGTGGAATATGAAGACGAAATACAAGACATCTTGTGTATATTTGTTGTTACTGCAGAAACTATCGGGTGAGGAAGCAGAACGTCAACCCCAGACAATAGTGAAATTTTGAGTCACATAATAAACAATTTAAACTTCAAAAAGTGCAATGATATATATTTTTTGGAGAAAAAACAGCTGTTAGGTGAATATGTTTGTCTTCAATTGCGGTGGTTTTACACTTTTTAGGAATCTTTGTTTTTCTTTCAACTGCTGGGATTCGCATTTTTAAACGAATTGTTTGTTAACATGTGTTAACTGCGGTTGAAGACAAAAATTTGTGATTGTGGCGCTGGATTTTAAAAAGATGATATCATTGCCAAAAGTTTAGTTTTTTTCTTAAAGATTTAATTTCTAAATAAAAAGCTTCATATATATTATATGATATGTATTTAATTTGATTTTAATTAAACTATTTCATACCTTCGCATCAGCCCATTCTCTCCATTGTTTGTATGCTGCAACCAGAGATTCTCCTTAATCACACAAATATTTATGAAATTTGTCAAAAAATCTAAGAAGTATCTTTTAATCCGTGTTTCTTCAATTTATCAGTATTTACAAAAAAATCTAAGTCACATTAAATCTACTCCAAAGAAAATAAGAAGAAATATTTGAATGTGAAAAATAAAAGTAAAATTTTATATTTTCATTTTGTTTTAAAAAATCTCAGATACGATTGCTCAAGTTTATGTTTTTATTTCTTTAATATCTGAAATCAAAAAATACCTTTTTGCGGAATCACAAAGTCGATAATCATGGTAGTGCCTCCAACCAAACCAGCTTTAGTACCAATATAAAAATCATCCACTGCCTACAATTTTATAAGATATACAGAATATTCAAAGTTTTGGCATGAAGAACAGAATTAGCATATCGTATTGAAAGGTTAAGTAAACCATTGAGTGTTTGAGTCTTTCTGTAAAAAAACACTTAAAGGACTAAAAACCCATTAAGTTGTCGTTTTTATGGCAAGAAAAATATTTAGACAGTTTAGAAAATTATGATAATCAAATTAAATCATATTAGATTATTCTCCAAGCTTTAACGCCCAAATGTGCAAATAATTCTCAAAAAACTTAGTATTTTTTTTTGCCAGAATATATTTACAAAAGTTCATACATTTCAAAAAAAAGATTCATTCTTTTAAAATTTTTTTGAACCCTAAAGTTTTAATTTGAAGAGCTATAAACGATCTAATATGATGTGGGACACCCTGTATTATAACTGTATTGCTGTCGTGAATAACTTAAGAATGTCGTCGTTGTTCGAAGCAAACCTTTAGAACAAAAACTTATAGGTTTGAGCGGTATAATAGGGGTTTCTATGTTTTTAAGCAAAACATTTAAGTATTATATTTGTTTTTAAATTGGTGTACAATTCTTGGTTTTAAATTTCCTGGTTTGAATCCAATTTCTGATCGATATTTAATATTTCTGATAATTGTCATAAAGATATCTGATTTTTGAGTTCTTTAATCAAAAGTACTATCAAAAGTTTTGAGTTTTTGCTACAAAATCAAATATTTGAATGCCAATTTATGCCTTCTGATGGTTCAAATCATTGACATTTCAAATTTAGATTATTTGATATACCATAATTCATGGTCTATAGCAATATTGTGTTGCTCAGAAACAGGAATTAGAAACAAAGAGTTTGCGGCAAAGATTTAGTTCCTTTTACAAATAAAAGGAAATATAAAAATAAAAATAAAAATAAAGTTATTAATTTAATTCAATCAGTTTTTACCTTGGTTCCCATAAAGGGCATCTGACAATGTGTGTGTGTATCAATACCTCCAGGTATAACAAGCTTGTTTGTAGCATCTAAATATATATATTTGCAGTATCTAAATATATATATTTGTAGCATCTAAATTTATATATTTGTAGCATTTAAATATATATATTTGTAGTATCTAAATTTATATATTTGTAGCATCTGAATTTATATATTTGTAGCATTTAAATATATATATTTGTAGTATCTAAATTTATATATTTGTAGCATCTAAATTTATATATTTGTAGCATTTAAATATATATATTTGTAGTATCTAAATTTATATATTTGTAGCATCTGAATATATATATTTGTAGCATCTGAATATATATATTTGTAGTATCTAAATTTATATATTTGTAGCATCTGAATATATATATTTGTAGCATCTGAATATATATATTTGTAGCATCTGAATATATATATATATATATAGCATCTAAATATATTTATTTGTAGCATCTAAATATATATATTTGTATAATCTAAATAAATATTCGTAGCATCTAAATACATATATTTGTAGCATCTAAATATATATATTTGTAGTATCTAAATATATATATTTGTAGTATCTAAATAATGTATTTGTAGCATCTAAATATATATATTTGTAGCATCTAAATATATGTTTTCGTAGCATCTGAACAAATACAATATATTTGTAGCATCTAATACATTGTTAAAAAAAAGTTTATTTATAGCATTTAAACACGATCAATTGTAGCGTCACAATAAGTAGTTTTTTTATAGTATCTAAGCAAGCTTATCTGTAGTATTTTTAAAATCTTGTAGCATCGAAACACTTCTTTTGTAGCATTTAAAAAATTTATTTTGTAGCATTTTTACAAGTTTATTTGTAGCATATGAAAAAAATTAAACATAAAGATTTCAAGAAATATGGTCTTTGATCTTTCATATCTTAATATTAGCTTTATTGGAAAGATTTAAATGTGAGCAACAATCTTAATAATTTTGAAAATCAAGAAATTTTCATATTACGGGGAAAACTCATTTAAAATGATATTTGAATGTTACAACAAAACAATTTAAAAAAAATTTTATTTAAAAAAAATTGTTTCCCGGATTTTTTTTTAATGTTTCAAAAATATTTTTTATTTTTTTAACACATTTTATTTTATTTATGCCCAAAAACCAAACCAAATAAAATTTTTGAAACTTTTGTCCAAAACATAGATGTCCTTTTTTTAACTCTTTTACTCACCCTGTACATATATATATATGTTAGCAATTGGCTTTATTGGATATATTTAAATGTGAGCAAAATTAATAATTTTGAAAATCCCCAGACTAGGTTTNTATATATGTTTATAATTTTGATTTGTTTTTAAAATGAAGTACACAATATTACACATGACACTGCTATGAAAAGTTGCATCCATTTTAGAGACTTAAAAGTGTCCCAACCCCTCGGTCCTTGAATCTACAAACCAAGAGCAGAGCAGATATCTCACCCTGATTAATCAATTCGGTCCGTATCTAAGATCACAATTTGACCTCGTAAACAGAAATTGTTTGCATTATCTCTTTTATAAGTTTTTGTTGAATAAATAACTGCGTAATTTTGAAGGTTGTTGAATTATTAACCAAAAACGCGATTGAATTTAAATAGCCGTAAACAAAACAAATTAGTTCTGAAAGAGAAATTGATCCCACCAATTTTTCTTATCTTTAATCTAAGATTAGCCTCAAACCTGCTGATTTCAAAAATCAGGTTGGCGGTCTTTTTAATTCCACGCTATAAAATGTGAGTTTAATAGATATAACCTAAAACTTACCAATTTTTGATGAGATATGCTTCAGTATAGGTGATGTCTCAAATAAGAACATTCCTAGTTTTGTATTTCCTTTAAAGTGCTTATTTTTTGATAGCATGATGACTTCAAGATTGTGATTATTTTAACAGAAATAGATATGTCTTTAAACTTCTTAAAATGTCTTAAAATAAAATGCATTCATGACCGATGAAACCTATAACATGTCTATCCTGTGTATCCTGTATGTACTTCTTCGTGAAAATAGTTGGTGATATCTAACACTCTACACTGTAAAATCTAATAAAAATCTACCAAATCCTTGATATTTATTAGATGTTTTACACTGTACAAATTCACTAAAATGCACAAAATACTAAATATTAGAAAATTTACACTGTAAAGTCTGACTAAAATCTACCAAATTCTTGATATTGGGTAGATGTGTCACACTGGACAAATTTACTAAAATCCACAAAATCCTAAATGTTAGAAATTAATGTACACTGTAAAATCTAACTAAAATCTACCAAATCCTTGATATTGAGTAGATGTGTTACACTGTACAAATTCACTAAAACCCACAAAATCCTAAATATTAGAAAATGTACACTGTGTGCAAAGTAACCAAATTCTACCAACCCTTTGGTCTGAATGATGCAGAGTACACAAACACGACTAAACTAAACTGAATGCAAGTCTAGGGTCTAGCAGGAGAAACCTTGCACAGGTGTATAAATATATAAACCTTTATACCTTACCATCAAATAGGATAGGTAGGTAGATATATAGATAGATAAATAGATAAGTAGGTAGACATATAAAGAGATGGATAGATAGGTAGGTAGATATATAGAGAGATGGATAGAGTTAAGTAGATATATATATAGATAGATAAATATGATAGGTAGGTAGATATACATATAGATGAATAGATAGGTAGACAGGTAGATTGGTTTTTAGATGGATACAGTAGGTAAATATACAGTAGGTAGATATACTGCATCCATAAAGATGAATAGATAGGTCGAATGATAAATTAGTAGATAAAAAATAGATATAGGTAGATAGAGAGAAAGTTAGATTGGCAGATAGGTAGATAGGGAGAAAGGTAAATGGGTTGATAATTAGACAGATTGATAAAGAAGTAGATAGGTTGAAAGATAGATATTTTCCCTGACTCACTTACTTAAGGATTTACTACTTTTGGCATTTAGAAAATCAAACTTGTCATGCAGTGATTTAATCATAAGATATGTGCCCACTAAGCTTTTATAAAACAAAAGTCATCAAACATGAAACCCGATGAATTTTTTGTATAATTTTCATGAAAATATATTTTTAGAAATATATCTAGAAAACAAGTCTGGATAATTTGTAACTTCGTAACTTTATGAAAACATTTGATAACACACCGGCCTTGAATCCTGATAGAAACTGTGCAGTGTTTAAGTGTATATGTGAACATTAAGAAATTCAAGAAACTAGCCCCACTAGCCCCTTCAGCTTTAGAAACTGGTAGGACCAGTATCTTCTGCCTTGGATAGGGAGATAACAGACATAAACAGTGAGGCCCATAGAACTGTGGAATATGGAGACGACATTTACCAATCTTATGCGTAGAAGAAGAAGAAGAAGAAGAAGAAGAAGAAGAAGAAGAAGAAGAAGAAGAAGAAGAAGAAGAAGAAGAAGAAGAAAGATGTGAAAATAACATCGTGGAGACAATTTTGTATTGAATCGTATTGTATGATCATTAAGTGACATGAGGCACTGGCAACTACACAGTTGGGTAAAATAGTCACTAACTAGTGGGGCCTCAACTAATGTCACTTTTATTTTCTATATTCGGCCGGCCAACAGAATTGTAAAAGGCTTTTATTCTGCAAACATTTAATTATTATGCAATTAAAAATCTTTTTTTCATTTTGATTTAAAAATAGGGATTCTAACGTCTGAAACAATCTCAAAGGACATGTTAATATATTTTAAAGCAACCCTCCATTTAAAGTGAGGCGCGCATGTTCGATTCCCGATCTGAGTAAAAATGAGTAAGGAAGGTATCATCATTGTCTTCACAAATTCGCAAAATTTCCTTTGTTGTCTATGGCAGCATACATTAGTAAGTCGCATTTAAATAAAACCACAATTGAAAATAATCTTTTAATTTCATTGAAGATTTCACTTATCGTATCACGGGCAGCCGTAGTACATTTGAATTTCCGAGCCGGGTCAACCTTTCCGGTCCGAATTTGTACTGTATCGCCCGGACATTGGGTAAATAAAGCAGACACTCAATAGGACTAGCCGGAGCAACAAGGTTGACGCGGTCAGACTTTAGGTTGAATTTACTTTTACTAAAGGGTCAGGGGTGTGTGGTATATGGGTCATATTGGGGGTCACTTCAAATCACGCTTACGGTCCTTATTATGCAACAATGAAAAATATGAATTTTCAATAAAAGAATAAAATTATATAGTTAGTTTCTATTAAATTTATTTTTTTCCTGCTTATAAGATCTACATAAACAATTCAAAATATTTTTGATTGTTGATCATATCAATTTCTAAAATTTATCATCAGCATAAACGTTTCAGGACCTTAAAAAGAAAAAAAATAGTGGCTCATTAAATTTGAAAGAGTGCTTTGCACCCCTCGTAAAAAAATATTTTAGTCAAAAGAATTTTTAAAATTTAGAAAAATTTGAAATCTTGGTATGATCTTCTTTTAGTCTGACTTCCTTTAGATAAAAAGGTCTTATACTAAAAAAAATCCAATTACTTTTCGTTTCTATTATTTCAATTGATATAAAAAATATAATAGAAACTTATTACTCGCCCCCGAGTTTTCTAATCCAATTTCAATTTCTGCTGGATCAAAAAGTCAAATATGAAAGGTTTATTTCACCATAAGGTTGTAATAATGTAGGAATTAAAAAGAAACAGTTTTAGTGGATTAATAATTATCAGTTTCTTTTAAAGAATAAATTGGGTTGGAACTGGTGCAAAGCGAGAAAAAGTAACAATTTAAAAAAAGGATATTTTCTAATGCATAAGAACGCAAGGCAGTAGCAATAATACATATTCAGTTTGGATCACGTCGGTTCAAACAAGATATGGAAATGTTTCTTATGATTTATCATTCTTCACATGTGATTCAAAAGTAGTACGTTAGCAGTTAGCTGTCTTAATTCTAGAATTTTTAAATTTTCCTCTTCGAATAATTTTTTTTAATAGTTTAATAATCAATTTTATCTTATTTGTAGGTTTTAACAAAATTTAAAAATAAAAACATATTTTTTTAATATCAGACTGCCAGATATTTGAATAGCCTGTAAAATGAAAATTTTGCATTTATCTCTCTATCAAGTTCTAATTTAGTATATATTTTAAATTTCTCTGTGACATATGTACGTTTAGCGTTATATAACAATTAATAAAAAAATAGACTTAAAGACATGTGATTAGCCCAGTTTCTTGCATAGTATCTAAGCTGTCTACTAACCAACAATCCATCAATGTAGTGTTAGAAATTTCGAACCGAATGTTAGAGATGTAAAGAATTGTGAGATATTTTGAACACGATGTCCATAATTTCGAAACGCTTTTAATATTTTGATTTTACGAACTAAGTGTAAGGTTTTTTTCTATAATATAGTGTTATAGTGATGGATCTCCTGAAAGGAACTTTAAGCGTAATTTTAAGTGCAACATTCCATACAAAGACGACCTATTTACAAAAGGACTTATTTAAACCTTTGACTTATAGTTGAGGACACTCCATTCTACCAATGGAGGGTCACTTGAACTACGTCTTCATTACAGTCCCTTTAAGAAAGCTTTCCGACTCCTTTCTGCCGTGATTCAAATATCCGGCTAGGTCAGAATAACGACGACGAAAAATGTAAAAAATTCTACAATAAACTAATCAGATGTTTCGAAACATATTTCTCAATAGAAATTTGTCAATAAATTAATGTTAGAATTAATTATTTCTTTTTCATCATTATATTGAATTTCTTCTTCTTTACGAATTAGCTCGCAGATTTCTACAAATTCTTCAAATGTCGTCTTTTCAATAAAAAATCCAGGAAATCTGCAGAAAATGTTTTTGAACAATGAGAGATTACAGAAACGTATAACTGAAAAATTACTTATTTACAATGATAAGAGTTTTTATTGTCTCAACATGTATCTAAACAACTAATTAGTTTATTGAAGAATTTTTGTTACATTTTTTGTAGTCGTTATTTAATAATTTTAAAAAAATCGATTCACAAAACGTCGACTTTGCACTCAAACTCAGTAATTATACATCAATAAAACGTTTCATATGTCTTAAATGAATCCTAAAACATTTCTCCACAAAACTACATTCTCAGTTCAACTACCATACATTGCCGGTCACTCCCTTTAATGTGGAGTTGCAAAGATATAGGGATTAGAAAATTTAAGTTTGTTGTTAGTTCTAACTTAGAAAATTAAAAAATTCCATAAAAAACAAAAAAAATCCAGCAAAAATATAATTTAAGCCAAAATCAACGGAAAAGGATGAAAGAGATATTTTTTTCGAACTAAAANTAAACAAACCACTATTGTGAATCTGACTCGCCACTCTGTTTTAAATTGAGTGTCCTAATAAATAACGCCTGCAGACCCTTTAATTACGCCTGTAGAACCTGTAAATAACACCTGCAGACTCTTAAATAACGCCTACAGACCCTTTAAATAACGCCTACAGACCCTTTAAATAACGCCTACAGACCCTGTAAATAACACCTGCAGACCTTTTAAATAACGCCTACAGACCCTTTAAATAACGACTAGAGACCCTGAAAATAACGCCTTCAGACCCTTTAAATAACGACTAGAGACCCTGAAAATAACGCCTTCAGACCCTTTAAAAAACGCCTGCAGACCCTGTAGATAACGCCTGCAGACCCTTTAAATAACGCCTGCAGACCCTTTAAATAACGCCTGTAGACCCTGTAAATAACGCCTGTAGATCCTGTAAATAACGCCTTCAGACCCTTTAAATAACGCCTTCAGACCCTTTAAATAACGCCTGTAGACCCTGTAAATAACGTCTACAGACCCTTTAAATAACGCCTACAGACCCTGTAAATAACGCCTGCAAACCCTTTAAATAACGCCTACAGACCCTTTAAATAACGCCTGCAGACCCTGTAAATAACCCCTTCAGACCCTTTAAATAACGCCTGTAGACACTTTAAATAACGCCTACAGAGTACAGACCCTTTAAATAACGCCTGTAGACCTTGTAAATAACGTCTAAAGACCCTTTAAATAACGCCTACAGACCCTGTAAATAACGCCTTTAGACACTTTAAATAACGCCTGTAGACCTTGTAAATAACGTCAAAAGACCCTTTAAATAACGCCTACAGACCCTGTAAATAACGCCTGCAGACCCTTTAAATAACGCTTGCATATCCATTAAATAAATGTTTTTTTTATAAAAAATGCTTAATCTTTCAGAATCAATATGTTTAAGGACGCAACTAGTTCTGAGAGCGAAGGTTTGTATGAAAAAGATAAAGACAACATTTGAAATAATTTTTGATGTAACAACTAATTTATATATTTTTTTATTAATTTTAAATCTTTAGCATTTTTAATTCTAAATACTTTTTCTGAATAGATCTTTTAAAAAACGAGTTTATCTTTTTTGGTGGTTTTTCAACATTTAAAAACTTCTAGAAGTAACGTAATTATATAATTCTGACCGGCAAAAAATCTTTCCTTGGGTTGTGTTAGGTTTCATAAAATTATTTGGCCCGATTGGTTGGTTCCGACTGTTCTGATTGGTTGGTTCTGATTGTTTGGTTTAGACAATTTATCGTATATTGTATTCCAACAAACAAGGCAGGATTATATATACAGATTTTGAATTATTTATCTACAATCCCACTTCTTCGGAAATAAAAAAAAAATTAAAAATTAAAAATTTTAAGTTTCCGCAGTAGATACTGAGTTGTTGATTAGTTCTATCTTATTTAAAGTTTCCGCAGTAGATACTGAGTTGTTAATTAATTCTATCTCATTTAAAGTTTCTGCAGTAGATACTGAGTTGTTTGTTAGTTCTATCTCATTTAAAGTTTCCGCAGTAGATACTGAGTTGTTAATTAGTTCTATCTCATTTAAAGTTTCCGCAGTAGATACTGAGTTGTTGGTTAGTTCTGTCTCATTTAAAGTTTCCGTAGTAGATACTGAGTTGTTGATTAGTTCTATCTTATTTAAAGTTTCCGCAGTAGATACTGGGTTCTTAATTAGTTCTATCTCATTTAAAGTTTCAGCAGTAGATACTGAGTTGTTGGTTAGTTCTATCTCATTTAAAGTTTCCGCAGTAGATACTGAGTTGTTGGTTAGTTCTATCTCATTTAAAGTTCAGACCTCTGATATTTCTTTCATATCAACGATTTTAAATAAGGTTATGTTTATGTGTGTTCAATTATAGATTTACTGAGAACGGCCGAACCAAACGAAAGAATAAATTTCTTAGCCTCTGCTCAGCGTCAGGTAAGCAAAGCTGGAAAATAACTTTTTTATTTTTAAACCATTAAAGGATTTATGACCTAAAAGGCCCCACATAAATCCGCGAAAAAAAACTTTGAAAACCGTTGTTTGCAAAAAAAACGTTACCACTCCAAACAAAGATTTTTTTTGTTTTCTGTATTTTTAAGAGTAAAATTTTGGCACAATGTTTAAAAAGAAACTTTAGAAAACTAATTTTTTTAAACCCCTGAAATTTTTTTAAAAACAACCCAATACAGATTGGCGCCTCAAAAGAAATTGCCACAGATCTTGAAAATGTCCTAACAAACAATTTAAACAAAAGCTGCAGAGTCTAAGTATAATCATATGGTAGGGCGAACCGCGTCAGTTATCCCCTCTATTCCTTACTCCAGGATCACAAAACACTTCTTACTCTTCGTAAGCACTATAGTAATAGTCTGACGAGAGCGCGGCACATTCTCATCAGTGCTATGTTCTAGACCTTCCTAAGACTCGCATACCATTAGCGAGAAGTGCACACTCTCATTTAACCAGTGCTACAATGAGTAGGTATATTTAAAACTGTACAATATTTAGTATGATGATGCTGATGATTCTGATGATAATAATGAGACTGTGGCTGAGGAAGGTGTACGGGGTTGGTTGGTGGTATTTGCTTCCTTTATCTGTATTGCAGTGCTGGACGGCGTTGGGTACACCACAGGGACATATTCTACCTACAAACTTATTTTAAAATTTTAAACTTTCAAATTAAAAGCAGCGTCTTACAGGGGCTGTAAGTGTAATTTCAATGTGACCACGGTATTACCCACTTAACAACATTACCCTTGAGTTTTAAATTAAATTCTGATAATTTTGTATGTTTTCCTGCAGTAGAAATGCGCAACTCACTTTAGTAGAGAAATTGAAAATAAGTAAGTTTCAAAATTATTAGAAGTGATATCTAATTCATACTCGAATATAGACTTTTAAGAATTCCGTTGAGATTCAGGCATTGTCATCTATGCATGGATGGTCACTTAAGATTACGCTTACAGTCCCTTTAACTAGATGAAATATTTGCTAAAGATTACGAGTTTTGAGTATTTCTATAGCCTTGAACAATTTTCAAGAAGTTATTTAAGGAAATTTAACTTTAAAGGTTGAATTTTTATTCTATAATTTTGAATTTTTGAAATACAGTATTAGGAAGGTTCATGTATTTTTAAGAATTTTCAAGATGATGATTCTAAAAAATAAATTATTTATCCCTGAGTTAGAATTTGATACAATAAAAGGACTCCTGTTAAACTCCTTACTGACAGACCTTGGAGGGAGTCGGGCCGAAGTTTCTATAACAGGTAGTTTACAGGTACACAACCGGTCACACCAAACGAAATACAGCTAAGTATCGGAATAAACTCAGTGGATGTTCATTTTAAAAACTTGTAAGAAAAATCTAATTTTAATGGGTAAAAATTATATGCTTAAGACTGAATTTTAACTGAATATAAAATACCGACGTCTGGGTGGACTAAAGATTTTTTTAAATTAAAAAATAGCCTTCATTTAAAAAAATATTTTTTATCTATTTAGGTTGGAATATATTGCCTGTCAGGCCCTCTTGTTGGTAGATTAGTTACAGAATTTGGAACAAGGAATTTGGATATTTTTCTTCACCATTTATTAATTTTACAATTTTAGAACTTTCAAAACTGACAAAGTGACACTTTTTTTCTCATGTTCTCTGCTAAACTTATTAAAGTTGAATTTTTCAAATCATATTTTTCTCTGCTTTTCCTGAAAAATATTGCCATTAGATATGTTTGCATGGCAGGAGCCTTAGTTGCATGTTTAGGGATGATTCTGGCCAGCTTTGGACAAAGGAAAATCCAAATTGGAAAATGAATAAAATAGAAAAAATATTTTCAGAGATAATTCATAATTTTAAATGATTAAACTAAGATTATAAAAAAAACAATTGTGTGGTTTATTTTAGGTTGCTTGACAACCGTAATGTACAATTGCAAAAATATTTTCCGGAAAATTTTCTTGCATTTTCATAAATAATCATTTTCAGATCATTCATGACCATTAATCAACAGTCTCTGGGGGTAAAACATGAGAATCTAATCGGCTCTGATTTTTTTGCGTCTTGAATCCAAAGACATATACAAACCCGTTTGATTTTGTATAAAGATTAGTCGAAATCTTCATCTTATATTGTCTTTCCTCAATCGAACTTTTAATATTTTTCAAGAACAATTGGATGTATATAGTCTTGGAGCAGTATTAGTTGGATACAGTGGTTTTGCTGGGGTTGGATTTGGACTCATGTATATACCATCTGTAGTAGGAGCAGCACCGTTCTTTAACAAGCGTAGATCCCTTGCTATAGGTAAATATACCATCTGTAGTATAGGAGCAGCACCGTTCTTTAACAAGCTTAGATCCTTTGCTATAGGTAAATATACCATCTGTTGTAGGAGCAGCACCGTTCTTTAAAAAGCGTAGATCCCTTGCTATAGGTAAATATACTGTCTTCAGTAGGAGCAGCACCGTTCTTTAGCAAGGGTAGATCCCTACCTCCATAGGAACAGCACCGTTCTGCAACAAGCATAGATCCCTTGCTATAGGTAAATATACCCTCTTCAGTAGGAGCAGCACCGTTCTTTACCAAGGGTAGATCCCTACCTCCATAGGAACAGCACCGTTCTGCAACAAGCGTAGATCCCTTGCTATAGGTAAAAATATACCCCGTAGGAGCTAGAGCAACACCATTAATAATTGCTATAAAAAAGAACATTTAAACAAACCTTTTTATCAGGAATATGCCTTTGTGGAAGTGGAATTGGAACCTTTACCTTGGCACCAATTTGTGAAGCCATCTTGTCAAGGTTAGATTTAGGTCAAACCAATGAATATGAACTGACCGGAAGCCCCTGAATATATTTTAATAAAATTGAACTGAAGGTAAGATTATTTTAAGCAGTCTTGAGTTTTTTTTCTCTTTATCCCGTAAGCTGCAGGAAAATATTAACTATAGTTCAACTGTTCCCAAATTAATCTGCAACAATACATTACATAAGTCTTTCAACTCTTACTGTATACTCAAAAGTTTTCAGCTCGACTTTTTTTCTAGGTATGGATGGAGATGGGTCTTTAGAACCTTTGGAGCACTCTGCTTGGGTAACTTATATTACTAAATCTGATAATAAAAAACTCATTCACCCAAAAAATACCCCACACCCCCTCTACATTCAACCATCTGTAAATGTTATAAAAATCAAAGAAAATTAAGAATCAGTACGAAGCATTTCATGGACTGTTGACCCCCCCTCCCCATCTCAATCACAGAAAATATAAAAGCCAAGGTTGGGAATTTTTGAATATCCAAGTAGTTACTAACAAACAACTGGTTCAACTACTTTTTTTGTTTGATCTTTGCATCGATATAGGCTTCATTAGAAAGGTAAATAGTTCAACCACTTCGTTTTCCTTCATTAATTTCAATTCTTTTAGCTTCGAGCTCCGTACAGAGTAATGAGTCCAACCTTATTCAATAATCCAAACTTTCCAACCTTCCTCATCTGCTTACTTGCAGACTTCATGGCCTTCACAGGGATATATATACCGTATACACACCTTCCACCCTTAGCAGAGGTAGGTTATTTTTTTGTGGGACCACACTTGCATGATTCTAGGAAAAATTTATTGCTTACCAGTACTCCTAGTCAGTCAGGGTTAATAAATGTACCAGTCACAAATTTTTAAAAAAAACTAACAACAGTTGAGACGGTAAAGTGGTAAAGTTCTTCTTTTTAAAACATTAAACAAACATTTTTTTTAAATGCATTGAAAATCTGTTTATACAAAATTGTTCAAAGAAATTGAGTTTTTTCACACTCAAAATCACATTTTCTTTTCCCTATATCTATGCAACAGGTTGGCGTAAACCTTTGATATTTCAAACATAGACTATTTGATCTAACATAATTCATAGTTTGAAATATTAAAGGACTAAGATGTTGGGTTGCAAAAACATAGGGATAAGAAAATTTGAGTTTGTGGCAAAAACTCAATTCCTCTACATTCATATCTCTTATTTTATCTTTTGAACATTCAAGTTGGACGCCTCAGAAATCAATATTTATTTTTGTACCAAAGTTAAAATTGTTTAAAAATGTTTAGTTTCGTAATATTTCCTCAACAGACGCAGCTTTTCTTATATCCGCTGGAGGTATAAGCAATACTTTTGGGAGGTTCCTAGGTAGGATTAAATATTTAATAAGATTGTTCACGGGCCCGGGTTTAATGAATTGCGATTTACTAGAAGTCGTTGAACTACGTAGAAACGGTTTAACCATTTATCTTTTATGGTTCAATTTGAGGTTTTAAACATTGAACTATCTTAGTGACGAAGTTGTCAACAGTTTTGTCTGCATCATTCAAATTAAAAGTAGGGATGGTCAAAATAATAAAATTTGAATTGGTATTTTAGGGTTTGGGCAATTGAGAACTATAAATCACTACTCACCACACCCTAAACCAAACTTTCGGTGTGTACTGCAGTGATTTGCAGTACACTGACCGAATAAATAGTGGGTTTTAGTTTTGAGTGACTAGAGAAGGATGTAGTTCATTCACCTCTTTCCAATTCGTTAAATTCGGTTCCTGCAATCTCTCAATGATTTCCATGTTTTGTTTTATAATTGCTCTAGATCATACAAATTTTGCCAGATAAATTATAATAATATTACTTACTAGCTGATGGGCCCGGCGTTGCCCGTGTAAAAAAAAAATTTATCACCTCTTTCCAATTCGTTAAATTCGGTTCCTTCAATCCCTCAATGATTTCCATGTTTTGTTTTATAATTGCTCTAGATCATACAAATTTTTTGCCAGATAAATTATACTAATATTACCTACTAGCTGATGGGCCCGGCGTTGCCCGTGTAAAAAAAAATTTTGAAAAATTTTTTTTGAAAAAAAAACATTTCTAAAAAAAAATTTCTAATTTTTTTAGCCTGTAACACCCTCCGGCCACCCATGAGTGTCCACAAACAATTTCAGCCCAATCAGTCAAGCCGTGTGGCCGGCTATAAGCAACAAATATATATACGAATGTCTTGTTTTACTATATAGATTTTTAATATTCTTGGTCACTATTTTATCTCTTGGTCTCAATATTATCTCTTGGTCACAATATTATCACTTGGTCCCTTTATTTTATCTCTGAGTCACACTGTTATCTCTTGGTCTCAATATTATCTCTTGATCTCTTGGCCACAATATGATCTCTTGGTAATGGTAACCTTATTATCTCATGCGTCACAATATTATCTTCTGGTCACATTTTTATCTCTTGGTCACACTTTTATCTCCTGGTCACTATATTATCTTTTGGTCCCAATATTATCTCTTGGTCCCAATAATATCTGTTTTCTAGGTGGTTGGCTGTGTGACCAGCCAGCTATACATCCTTTCTTGGTTACAATATTATCTGTTGGTCTCACAATTATCCCATCCTTCATAATACCAAGGTGACTTTCATCTTATCTCATATTTAGAATTAGAATTATGTGATTGCGTTCAAAACAGTAATGAAAAAGTTATTTAATAACTTTCTTGAATTTGATCATTTATTTCTTCAATTCACTTTATAATTTCACTGTAATCGCGTTTCTAGAGTCTATTTATCAATGTTTTACGACAGAGAATTATCTTCAGTTTACTTAATTGCAGAGGGGTTAAACCAGTTTTTTTTTACTTTGAATCGGGGCACAAGCATAGTGGTTGAACTACGTCTGCACGGTTCAGCTACTAAAAACTGGTCCTCTGATTAAAACAAGTGTTGTTCTTAGAATAATTTTTAAGAATGATAAATATGCAGGCAACTCTATTCAATTCAATTCAATTCAGTTTAAGAAAATGTGGATAAAATTGTTGAATGAATATCGGGCAAATCCCAAAATCAAGAATAGGTTTCTTCAGATTCACGATCACGTGAAAAATACATATTTTTAGATATACGAATATACAATTTTTAAGCGAGAATGTGAAAATAAACAAATCTAAAAGGTTTACATAAAGGTTTACATACCATTGATGCGAGGGTGATGGGTTCCGATAATACTGATAAGTGTACGATACTATGAGTATATTTTGAACTTTGCAGTACGCTTTGTTTACTAAAACAAAAAACCGGTTTATAAAAAACAGTTACTATCAAGCACGGTGCAATTTACATTTACAAGTATGAAAAAGTAAAACCTAAATTAGTTCAGAAATTCCAATATATCACGAAACAAAAATCTTTATTTGTTTAGAATATGGTTTTATTCATTTTGATTTTAGAATAGTTGCGTATAGAAGTTTTATCTCCATGTTTTCAGTGTTTGGATTAGCTACAGGTTTTTATATTTATCAATTCTTAAATATCGTAAACAATAAAATATTTAATATCCTAAAGAGAAGTTGTTGACATAATTTAAAGTGAAACTCCATGTATAGAGCACTCGTTAAATCTTTCTCATATGGTAAGATCAATTTTTTTTTCAGTTTTAAATAGAGCTGGACAATTACTTACTTCTCTGTGCTGCCTTAATCAGAAAGAGGAATTGCAATTAAAAAATATCAAATTTCAGATTAAAAACAAGGATATCATCAAAATTTTCTCCCATAAATAGGTTTTAAATTGCTCCTGTTGTGAATGAGGGTCACTTGCAATTTTGTTAAAATTCTCATTTAATACAACATTAAAAACAAAAATTATGTGTAATATGAATTCAAGTATCAAATTAAAAAATATCTTTTCAATGCATGTACATTTCTGTTTTGAAAACTAAAAAGGGACATAAATGCATTATTCATAACTGTCATTTATAATTTGAATTTAAAATTTTTAATTATATTCAAAATTAAGGTTGTACAATGGGATCTACCTCTCCTCTACTTTTAAGGTATTATTATTTTTACTATTACTATCATTATTATTATTTTTACAGTCCAAAGGAACTGAACAGTATTCTCAAAATGCCATATTATCATACAATTTATCTTTGCATAGCGTAGTTTTTTGATAATTCAAACTTAATACTATTTACAGTTTCAAATATTGAAACACTACAACATCAGGTTTCAAAACTAAAAGGATCAGAAAGTTCAGTTCCTTAATCTGTCAAATTTTTTAAGATTGCTTGGATTGAAAGCACTATCTCAGACCTTTGGGTTAATCACGGCATCAAGAGGAATTGCTGCTCTAGTCGGTAAGGTCATTAAGCTGAATAAATGTCGTCTTGGTAACTGACATAACTATAAAAATCAATCATATCCAGGCTGTTACCCACAAAGGATCCCAAAGATGTGACGATCGAAAGGTTAAATTTAGTCTTCGGGGCGGATAAAGTCTTGCAATATCTGATCACATCTTCGTACAGTCGTCTCTGAAGTTTCATACTTTGTGGGTAACCCTGTATCAGTCTTATAACATTAAAAGATACGAAATCAAAACTTGAAACTTGAAATCAAAAAGAAATTTTTGTACATATTCACTACTAGAAGCTGGAGAACCCGGCGTTATTCAGATTTATATTATTGTTATACTTCCGTTTACCCGCGCTTGGTATTAAATAATTTTAGCTGAAGTGCCCGTGGAATTTCAAAAATTTCCAAATTATTTTTAACCTATAATCACCCTAGGGTACCCATTGGTTTCATAAAAAAAAATCAGCTAATTTGGTTTAGCCGTTTGGCCAGGTATAGCAATTTATGAGCAAAGAGCTTTATTATTAAATTATTAAATACTAAATAATGTTTTGTTCTTCTAGGTCCTCCGTTAGCTGGTTTGCTAGTGGATCTGCTGGATGAGCCTGGGATAGCTATTGATCTTGTTGGATTCCTAGAAATCCTGGCTTTATTCTTTTATATAATTGCTGTTGGGAGAAACAGGGTGGTTCAGAGAAGGCGGAATTATCAACAATTGTAGTATTTATTAAGTTCTTGAACATATTATGTAATGTTTCACAAGGGTAATTTTAAATAAAAAATAGAATTATCTAGACAATTTTTAATTACGCTTATGAACTCCTAAATTTTCTATATAATTGCTGTTTGAAGAAATAGAGTTGTTCAGAGGATATGTTTATCATAAATTTCACTAGAAGAGGATCATTCATTTGGCGTACTATCCCGTTTTGCCTTATATAGTATGTGTTTGTACTGTAGCAGATTAATAATTGGCCCGGTACTTCAAATGAACCGGAGTTAACAGTGATAGTGTGGCCGAGAGTTAACCAGATAAATAGTTTTTTCTTTTCAATAATTTCCTTCCAAACTAGTAAACTTAAGAACGGAAACTTACTTAATAAAAAAGGGACAAATGGAGAAATGATGATTTTATACAGAAAGAAAATAATTTAAGATATACAATATAAATTTAACCNTATTTTTATTCAACTACAAAGCACGAGATAATACAAATAAAAAATCACAATTTACTATGTAGTTTGGACCCGCCTAACTAGAGTTGGTTGTTTGATTGGTTGGCCCATTATAAGCGAATAAGAATTGTAAATAAATAGATGGATGTACACTGTAAATTGTACATTTTAAACAAAACAATGATGATAAATCAGGAATAAGGTAAGGAGGGGGTGAAAAAGTATAAGAAAAAGGGTGGGTACTCAGCGGAAGGGTTGTAACAGAGGTAACATGTATTATTAGAATCATGTTTATAAATTGCAGGGTGAAGAAGATAGCAAAGACTAAGTTTATCCACATGAAAAACAGTTAATTTTTTTACAGATATAACTTGCATAACTATCTCAATAGTTTTTGCAGATTTGTTTTTTAAACAGTTTTGCAGATTTAGTTTCTCTAAGCTCTAGTTCAATCGAATTCCATAATTTTGGAAATAAAGCGGAAGGAAAATATCCTCGAGTTTTAAAAAGAACCCGCTCAGTCAAGTTTATATTTTGTTCTATTTGGTTCAGCTAAAGAATTAAACATATCATGGACGGAAGTTGGAAGGTTTTTATAAAAGTATTTATGCATAAAAGATAGAACACCTAGTTTATTTGTATCATCAAGATTTAGAAATTCTAATCTGAAGAACATTGGTTCTGAATGTGCTTTAAATAAATTATTATTTACTGCTCTAATTGCCCTTTTTTGCAAAGAGTTGATTTTATGTAGTTTAGCATTTTTTACGCCCCCCCATGTTATAATTCCGTACTCAATATGTGGCCTTACAACTGCATTATAAACTAGTAGGTGAATATTTAATGGTAAAATGTTTTTAATCTGATTCAGAGCAAAATTTGAGCTAGCAATCTTATTTAAAACATTATACATTTGAAACATCCTATTTACATTTGAAACATTACATTTACATTTGAAACATTATAATTACATGTAAAATTGAAAAGTCATTAATTCATCTAACATTTAAACTTTATATAACAAGCTTAGAAAACTCAATAATAAATAAATCATATAGGTTAAAGGATCTATGGGTCGTAAATTTCATGTAACCCCCTATTAATGGATTGCATGTCCGATCCACAACAGAGTTAACATTTCTTGTCAAATAAAAAAATGAAAAAAATATTAGGCCATATGATTCTCTTTAAAAAAAATATTATTTTCAGACTGTGGGTTCTCTACAAAAGTGTAAATTCAAAATAAGACACTTTTCAAGCTGACCACACTTTACTTTCACATTATTGACACCATAAAGGTTAGCGTTGTAAAAACCCCTTTTTTAATCAGAGGGTCACTTGAAATTACAAAAATGAATTATATAGATTAATTAAATGCGCTGACATCATTTCCGAAAACTAATCCTCTAAAAAGCCTCCAATGAACCTCGGGCGTTGAAACCTAAAAAAATATTACTTATAATTTGATTAATCAGATATGTTGTATATCTATATAAATCAAAGTTGTATGGATTCTATCTCAGGAACCCCGATTTGTCTCAAATTTAATTGGGAAAATCAGTAGAAACCACGGAAATGTTGGTTTAAAAAATCTAAGTTGAGTGGGTTGACTTTTGTTAGGAAACCTCCAGGCAAAGCTGACATTGAAAGGTTAGGATGCCATTCTATAAATACTGCACAAAACTATTTGTTTATGTTTGTTGGAAGGAACTAATTACTTGCCTCAAACATTTACTTCAAGTATTGATTTTTTTATCTAGAAGCATTCATAAAATTAGAGTTTGAGGCTATATGTTCAGTTATTTTCCCAACAAGAAATGTTATATATATATTGCATATTTTAACTCTAAGGGCAAATTCTATATAAGACTAAATAAGCCCAACCTAGGGCTAAGGATTCAGAGCCGAGAACTTTTAAAAGAAAATAATTAATTTAAATCTGCTGACCGAGAGAAGAACTCATGCTTTCCATACTCATACTCATACGGTCAAGAGTCAAGAGTTTGTAGACGACTATTTACTAATAAATGGTTAGAGAATTTTAGGGGTTAATAAAAGACAAAATATTTGTCCAAATATTAAACTTTTTGAATCAAATGCAAGTACATTTTCAACATTCATTATATCAAGGAGAATTGAATACAAGGAGGGGGCAATAGGGTTTCCGTACACTTTGTTGTGACGTTTTTGGACTGCTGAAGAACTAGTTTTTGCGTAACAGCAATAACAAAGGCAGCCGATCTAATGTAAACAAACATGAGTTAGTATACGGTAAATCTTCATCTAACGCCAGAGATGCGCCAGATGTCTGTTTATCATTTTTGTTTTGTTTACAATCTTTATTATTGTTAAGGAAGCCCTATCGCCCCCTCCTTCTATTCAATTCTCCTTGCATTATATCCACTATTGTATGTTTTAATTTCAGGATGAAGGCATATCTAGTAGAATTAAAGTAAAAATGGTTTTAAAAATAGTGTTGAAACAAATTCTGAGACAGAATAAATAGATAGATAGATAGAATAAAACCTAAAAGTTTTGAAACATAATGATATTGATAATGAAAATAATAGTGATAATGTTGATAATAATGATAATAATAATAATTACAATAATGTTAATAATGGACCTGTACAAGATCTATTTTCTTTAGAACGCTACCTTTAGCGTTTAGAAGAGAATATGTAAAAATATGATGGGATAGAATTCTGAAATGGTAGAATATTAAATATTTTAGATTTTATTAGAACTGTCCTTGTAATTTCAAATGATCTACTCTCCATTTAAAGAGGGACACTCCTGAATCCAATTCACAACTTGCGTTGCGGTGTCATCCTTTAAACCTTTACCCGATTGATAATGTGGAAGATAACGAAGTTTTTTTTCTAAAAATGTTTGTTCTTAAAATAAGCGCAAAAAGGAAAAAAACCGAAAATTGAAAATACTCAATTTAAAAGTGAATTTGGAAGATATCTTTTTTATACAGGAACTGCATGAGAGTCACATAAAACTATTTTTACTTTTATTTTGTCGGTTTAGAGTTAACAGTGAAATAGAGTAAAGATTGGTATTAAAACCGCTTTTCGCGAAATTGCTTTTAACTCTTCTTCAAATCTTCGGAATCTTGCGATATTGAAATATTCACATTTAAGAAAATTGCTTTGCGAGTATTAATGGATTTAATATTTTTTGCCCAAACACTTTCGGACGATCATAGAGTATTATCAGGACACTAGACGACATGTCAAATGACTCAAATAAATGAGTACTATGTCCGATTGACAACAGTGCACTTTAAAGCTTTATTTTTGTTAAGTAAGGAAGAAAATGTCGTTTCTCTATCGCAAAAAGAGAAGTAACGCAAGTTACTTTTACATTGGAAAATGCAATTAAAAATAATAATATTTTTATCAAGAAAATTAAGTATAATTCATTCATCTATGAACAGACAAAGGTTGAAAGGGTGCTATTGTGAATCCGATATGCCACTATATAAATGGAGGGCCAATTGAAAATGTGAAGGCCACGCAAATCTGCCCCTTTAGTAAAAGTAAATTCAACCTATATGAAGCATAAAGACTGACCGCGTCAACCTTGTTGCACCAGCTAGTCATGTCAGGCTGTCTATCGAGCTAGGTACAGTACAAACTGGGACCGGAAAGGTTGACCCGGCTCGGAAATTCAAATGTACTACGTCTGACCGTAAGGCAGTTTCGTTCTGTGTGGGTAACCCTAGATATATTAAGTTTACTTACCCCAACGAAACTATGTGTTCTGCAGAGCTAAGAGTTTAATATAAGAAAATATTTAAATCATAGATTATAGAGAAAAATATTAAAATAACAGTTAATACAGAACATTTGTGTTTAAACATTTTAAAATCAAACATATATTCATAGATAATTTGGGGGAAATCATTAGTTAATGCAATTTTCTAGGAACCAAAAAAACACCTTAAAAAACTAATTATTTTGCTGATAAGTGAAAATGTGCAAAATGTCTCAATGACTTGTTATAGAAAATATAAAAAGATTTTTTTTATTATTTCATGATTTTTAGTTGAATAACCATATAAAAATGTTGTTTTGAGGACATCTTATCTTCATTTTGAGTTATTTCATACTTTAAGTTAAAAAATAATGTAAAAGTATGAATTTGAATTATGTATTTAAAATATTTTTCTATTCCTGTATTTGAGAAGAATAAGAGTAAGTGCAGAGCTTGCAGCACTTCCTAGACAACCTGCAGATAAAATAATACTGTGGTAACCACAAAACTATGGAATGATCGTCGTCTTTGTTCGTATCTTTATTTAAGAAATGTCTCTGAACATTTTAAAAGGAGCTAAGTCTTTGCACTCCCAGTCCCTTTACATCTTAGCAACCCTGGTGTTTACACCTTTGATATTTTAGATATTAAAGATAATAGGAAATTACAAAAACCTTAGTGACATTTCATAAAACAAAGAAAGGAAAAGACGAAATCATTTCATTGCTTTCTTATCATAGTTTTGTTTATTTTAAAAATTTCGTTACTTTCCTTCTATCAAGATACCTTTTTCTGATTTTAAGTTAATTATAACTTTTAGTCTTGTAAAAAGTTGAGTGATAAGTGAGCATTTAATATTTTCTTAACTCATCATTGTAGACTTTAAAAACAAACGTTGAAATCTCAATTTCTGAGAAAATAAGCGATTTCAACAACATTTCTCAGACATTTTTTGAAGCCATCATATAAATTTCTTCTGATTCAATGGTAGTATTTTATATATATTTCATTTATCATATTTTATATATGTATACAAATAAAAAAAGAAAGAAAAAATGAAAAAAATATTAGGCCATATGATTCTAATATTTAGTTTTGCTGTAATGCTGTCTTTCTTTTCCAGAGTTTTCTGAATCTCACTATTCATATTTATATTCATATTTAGTTTGTCCGTATGTTTGTGTCCTTATGAAAAGATAAAGCATTGATCCTGAAATTGAAATTACCCACAGTAGATATCGAGATCAAGAGATAGGTATTAAGAGAATCCAACAGAAAAGTTTCCAGCTTAGGCCAGTTTTCATAGCAGCTAAATAATTTCTCAAGTTCTGTTGTACTCACTTTAACTCTGTACCTGCTGATTTCTTCTTTAAAAGAGGAGAGAAAGAAAGAAGTAAGATTGCTGATTAGTGCACCTTTAGGAACAGAGACAGAACTTATGGNACCGGGAAAATACTCCCACCATCAGAATATCAAAGTTGTGCCTCTGCCTTGCACGCTACAGAACAGGAAGTAGGGTGAGAACAGAAGAATGGAGAAAATGAGCAGCAGACTAGGGACTATATTCTAAACAAATATAAAAATTAAAACTAAAAATTAAGCAACATTAACAAGAAAAAATCTAAAAAATCGAAGAGTAGAGTCACCAGAAAAAAATCATAGAAACACAAAAAATCTAATTATTTTAGAATAATAATGAAGAAAACTTTTGGATTGGTTGAAGATGGAGCTAAGTATAATTATCAAAATAATTTAACCGTTACTTAAATAATTGGGAAGCTATTGGATTTTATTCTGAATTTAATTCTGTGTAATTCTGAACATTCTTTATATATTTCTGAGTCACTTTTGATGAGAAATCACAATTGAATATATTCAGTTTTCAAAATCATCAATTTTAATATCTAATATATACTTGATCAGACAAAGCTTCCAAAGGTACCGTTGTGAATCGGGCACTGCCATCTTTGCTGAAACTATGCTTACAGTCCCTTTAGTGATTTTTTTGGTCTTTAAAATGTATTGAACTATCAGTAAAGGCCTAAAACAGAATTTCTTTCTTCCTATTCCAATTGTTATTAGTCTCATATAGACAATTACCAATAAATCAAAATAATTTTTTCTCGCAAAGGAGTTTTAGCCACAAATTCTGATTTTCAAATCGCTATATTTTTGCAACCTGATTGTTTTAACCCTTGATATTTCAAACTATCATTATTTTATCAAAAACAATTCATAGCTTGAAATATCTAAGGTCTCCGACATTGAAATGCAAATATATAGGGTTCAGAAAATCAGAGTTTGTGACAAATACTCAATTCCCTTGAAAAAAAAATAATTGTTGAATACCTACCTCTATTCCTAGCAACGCACCAGGAGTGTGTAAGGTATCAACAATAACTAAAAAATTAAAAATGAACGATATTTTATGAAAAATACATGAAATGGTTTCTTAACAAACCTGTCAGTGCCCAGTGAGTATGAATGGTTTCATTCATCTCCAAACTTTTATATTCTTCTCAAATATTATTTAAAAACATTTTGAGAGATTCTTAAAAAATTTATTTTTTAAAAACGCATAATGAACAAATCTCTTAATTCCCATTTTCCACAAAAAATACAAACAACTTTTCTTCAAAATATGTAAGTGCTACATTTCTGAGCGTACAGAAAGTTTCAGAAAGTAAAGCCACATAATAAAATATAATTATAATCTTTGTGCTTAAATCCAAATGTTAAAAAAATATCCTTAAAAAACGGGTACTTTTTGTGAAGAAAAAAATCCCGATTCGAAATCATCCAAAATGCTCAATTCCATTTTTCTTAATTCTTGAAAGAAAAAGATATATTTTTGAGAATCCATATCCCTGTTAATATCATTATTTTTCGGGGCTGATGCCAGGGTCCAATTTCTTACTTCTGCTGGGTTTTCCTCTAAAAACAAAAAGAATTTCATCTCATTTCGTTTAAATAATTCTTTTTAAATATGACACGATCTTTTATTTGAAAAAAAAATATAAAATTAAATCTTTTTAATAGCATTATAAGTCTTTTAATGATAATCCTGTAATCAAGAAAGATAGAAAAAAATGGAGGTATAGATTTTTTAAATAAAAGTTTTCGACAGAACTGGTTTTATTGTAAACAAATATCAATTTGTAAACAGGGATTACTCAGAATGTCCTCATCGTAAATACCATGAGCCTTGTTCCCATTCCTTACAAAAAAACTTGTTTGAGCTTTCTTATGAATACGTGACAACAAATATAAATAAATTGATCCCTTTCTACTAGTATTATTATTAAAAACCTTCTACCTTTAAATATCTTTGTCATTGTTTACAATAAAACTAGTTTTTGCGTTAATTGTTCTTAAACCTCACTGTAAAATCATAAATGAAAACAAACCCCTTCTCCTTAGGTTTACGTTCTTTTTTCAATAAAAACCTACTTGATTCGCTCTAAATATTTTACTCTTTGTTTTTGTTTACAATAAAACAATTTCCTGAATTGTCTTATTACAGTAAAATGTAANCCCCCCCCCCCCCCGGAAACATTTAAACCGACTTAAAGTTTCAACGGCGGGTAATAATTCTGGACTATTGATGTTCAACATCGGCATGTAAGAGACTAAATGTTTAACACCCCCTCCATTTTTTTACCCCTTCTCCTCAGGTTTACTTTCCGTGTTCCTACCGTAGTTCACCCGAGTATGTGAGAAAGAAAGCAAAGTGTACATGAAGAGGAATGGTACAAGCAGAACGGGAACACATCTCCGTGTACATACATTACTAAATATTACAATTTCTGATTATAACTTTTATCGAAGTACCATGATCATTATTTGATTAATTGATTTATATTAATTTATTAATTGCAATGTACTATTTCGTTATTTTTTGTTTGTGTCTTTTTATGAAATCTACTTGTGAATTTCCTGCTACAGAAACAATGAAGGAGTTATGAGAGCAGAACAGCTAGATTTGTGCCATTATATTCCACATTATTGTTCAGAATCAAATGAAAGGGTAGCATTGTGAATCGGGCATGCTTCTTATATTAATTGACCTGAGTCCGGCAGCTACAAATACAAAGGATGAGATCAGTAAACTATAAAGTACACGGTCCCCAGCTTCTAAAACAAAAACAAACAAAAAACATTTCTTGAATAGTAGTTTTAGCAGGTTCCGCAAAAGAACCGCAATAAGAATCTGGCGGTAATTTGTCGGTAATCTTTCAGTCAGCTAAAATGTTTCGCTCTGCGATACTTTTAAAACCTTAATCAATTTATTGGTAGTTTTGCAGGTTTTGCTAAAAAAAAACACCTTAAGATATCGTCGGATAACAAAAAATGCAATTTTATAATCTGCAATACTTTTGCAGTATTTCTTCTCAATTGTTCCGATTTTGGTACATTAGCAGGTTCTGCGAATAAACCGCAAAAGGTTTCAAGCGGAACTTTTGCAACGGTTTCGTGGTATTTCTAGATTTAAGTATAGATAATCTGATTTTTCAGGCTTGTTAAAATTTAAAATTCTCCAAATTGTAGAATTTAAAATTTAAATAAGTACATTGTTCATCAAGGACAACTGAAAATTCAAGACTTTTATAGAAGTTACATTTTCTGATCTAATCTAAGGTTTTTGACATTTTTGATGATTTGAAACAAAAAAATACTCAATATAGATAACCTTACATTTTTTACCTTTTATGCCTGCATGAAGAGATAGAAGTACAAATGATGGCAAAATGTTCTAAAAATATTTGGTAATTTTTAATATTCCTTTTGGTGTAGATGAAAGTTGAGATTATTTGCAAATCTTAATTTTTGAAATTTCTTTGACTTTTTATAAATGAGTGTTTTCTAAGACTGTATTCAATTTTAGAACTTAAAGATGATTTTTTTATTCTATATTTTACATGCAATTTTTTTATTCTATATTTTTACATGCAATTTTTTAAGCCAATATTCTCAAATAACCTCAGAATTTTTCAGGTCCTTTACTGTAAAATTTTGATAATATTCTATTACCTGATTTGAAAAAGTAAGATTTTCCTAAATATGTGAGATATTTTGAAAAAAATAATTTTCTGAGCCGGTGCGAGGATTTAAAAATTGAAAAAAATATAACTCAGGTCTAAGTTGTCGTTAAGGGTTTTATTTACAGCTTGAGCTTTCGGATTCAAGCTGCATCTTATTTTCCTCAGAGTTGAGTTCAAATAACCGGCTTAATATTCTATTTGGCGGATTTTTATGGTAGGAATTGGCGCTTTCCCAGTTTTTATGAAGACAAGACTCAACATCGAGCCTTATTCTCCACGAAAACCAACCAAGGTCGGTCATGTGACACAAGCTGTCGTCAGAGTTGGGTCGAAGATTGGGTCTTAAAGTCGGGTTTAAGGAATTACGGCTCGAGTCAAAGTTTTTAAATCGCGAGCTCTGATCTACACATATGACAGATTTATCAACAAAGAATTTGACCTCACAGATGACTTTAAGAAACTCTCTCATATTAATTTTTTGCTTTTTAATTTTTCAATTCAAATAAGAGCCATTTACGACATTATGACATAACTTAGGTTGAATTATTTCATTGACACCAAGTAATAAAGAAAATACATTGACAAAAACCTTTTTTTAACAGTGTGTGCTATGTGTACAATCGGAATAATTATGCAAGTCACTAGAATAATCTGTGCCAATACATAATAAAACATCTTTAATCAACAACTGAAGAATAATTATGAATTCTAGAAAAATGTTTATAGAAATAATGTTGAAGACAACCTTGATCTGCAAAAATATTATAATATAAGTTTGTAAATAGGTTGCAAGAGTTAAAAGATATGTAGTTGACCGTTGTTAAAATCAATTTTACAACTTCATTTTGTTTGCCTCTTTAGGAGCACATAAATTTTTTATCCAAATTTTTTTTGTTAGGTAATCCGGTCATCTTGTTGGCTTTTCTAAGCCTTGAGACCTTCGCTTCTCAAATTAAAATCTTAGCTTATGAGCTAAAAATTCGGAAAATTTCAAATAAAGAAATCATACCTCGCACTTTAATCGCACTTATCAGCCGTAAAAACTTATTTTATAAAGTTTTAGAAATATACATTTTGCGTCACATTGCTACAATATATGACAACTTTGGAGCTTTATGTTATTGAATGAAATAAAACCTTATGGTTTATAATTGGGCACATCAAATGCAATATTATGGAAATGCACTTTACTCTACTTTCTTTGTTTCTTGCCACTATTAACAAATTATCTATATCTAATTTATCTATGGCGTGAATGAGATTACATTATCGTAATTATTGCTTCAAAAATTCGAAAAAACTTTCAAAAATCGGTCTAAAAAAATGAAAAAATTGATTAAAATCGATTGATTTCTATTTTCTACCCGATTAAATGAGAATAATCTTGTTAGACTCCAGATTCCAAGATATGTTAAAAACAGGCCCAACATGGCGTCAGCTCTGAAATAAAAACCTGTCATTATAACATTTTCAGAAAGCACATAATACATTCATTTTCTGAGTACTTAATTGTTAATTCGTTTATTCATTTAATTAATCATTGATTTATTGATTTATTAATTTACTTTTTTATTTATTTATTTAATTATTTATTCATTTATTCATTTATTCTTTCATTTCTTTATTCCTTAATTCCTTTGTAATTTATTCCTTTATTCCTTCATTTATTCATTCATTTATTCATTTATTAAATAATTCATTTATTCATTTAATCATTTATTCATTTATGAATTAAATCAATAATTTATTTAGTTACTTACCTATATACTAATAGAACAATTGTTGTAATAAATCCCCCAGTAGTGTTAGTTATATTGAATATTTCTCCAGTACTGTGGATCCAACTGAAGAGGAATACCACAATACCCCATCTAAACAGCCCGCTTAATTTAGAATAATTCTCTTTTACAGTGAATGAAACTAAAGAGGAATACTATAATATTCCATCTGAATAATGTTTTTAAAAAAACAGTCCGATTAATTTAGTATAATTCTCCTGTACAGTGGACCAAACTAATGAGGAATACCACAATATTCCATCTGAATAATGTTTGTAGAGAACAGTCCACTTAATTTAGTATAATTCTCCTGTACAGTGGACCAAACTAAAGTGGAATACTACAATATTCCATCTGAATAATGTTTGTAGAGAACAGTCTGCTTAATTCTCCTGTACTGTGGATCCAACTAAAGTGGAATACCAGAATATCCCATCTGAATAATATTTTTAGAGAACAGGCCGCTTAATATAGAATAATTCTCTTGTACAGTGGATCAAACTAAAGTGGAATACTACAATATCCCATCTGAATAATGTTTTAGAGAACAGTCCGCTTAATATAGAATAATTCTCCTGTACAGTGGATCAAAATAAAATATTCCATCTGAATAATGTATTTAGAGAACAGTCCGCTTAATTTAGATTAATTCTCATGTACAGTGGATGAAAATAAAGAGGAATACCACAATATCCCATCAGATAAAAGGGACAGTCTACTAAACTTAAACTATTTATCCAGTATTTGTGAATTAAAATTAACAAGAAACACAGAGCATTCTATAAAAAGTTTGAACGAAGGAACAGGGTTAAATTGTGTTCAATACGAAATAAGTTTCTTTCCATAATCAAATTTTGAATTTGAATTTTGAATCCATAAAACTTAAAAATTTAAATTTGCATTTTCATTTTTTATATTTATTATATTTTACCGGGAAAATACTGATTCCTGCTGTATGAAAAACCGAACCCCCTCACTGTTACCAAGGAAATATTTCTTCAAAAACCTAAAAAAAAAGTTTCTCAAGCTTCAAAAATAATATTTGTAATAAATTTTCTTTGTCTAAATACCTGAAGGCAGGGTAGTTGTTTGTCGAAACATCGGATTCACAGAGACTTTGAAATAAGAAATAAAGAAATAAAGATACTCTAGGCGTTAATCTAAATGACCTGAGATCAAATTTAATAAATTTAAGCTAAGTCACTGAACTACCAACTTTTTAACCTTTTTTTTAGTAACATCGAGGATCGAAGATATCTTCGTTTTTCTTTCTAAGAAAGAGTCAAGTTTTGGCATTTTCTTTATCAGTCTATATAAAATTCTAGAGAGAAACCTTATATTGAATTTATAATTTTTTAATAGAGAAGTTGTATTAAGTTTTAAAGTGTGTGCAATTTAAAAAAACTGAATTTTTTTCAATTCCTTCGCGATGGCAGGTTTGTTATCGTGCTGGGTGTGTGGGAATTTTCTGTATTAAAACTAAAAACCAAATAAACATTAGATTTGGATTTATTGTATTTTGTGATAATTATATTTTTATTAATAATTATTAATTAAGGCTTCTTGTAATACATATTTGATTTGATTTGACATTATAAAATACATATAATTTTGTTGTCATTATTAATATTAAAGATATTTTAATTATTTTTATTATTATTATTAACTTGAAAATAAAAAAGCCAAAATTGAGTGGAATAACAATGCATGGTTGCATACAAACTATATATTTACATTACAAAAAATACAATCAATTAGTGCGGGACATGAAAAAATACATATGAATCGCCTGGGACAAATATATTTCCATTCAGCTCTTCTAATCAGATGCTTCGTGCTAACTGCCGAGTCTTGGAGTCCCCGGGGACAAGATGGCCGACAATACTGCTTTCTTTGTAGGCTAAATAAATGCCCTGTCACTCCTTTCTCCGGCATCAATCTTACCCTAGCTGCCTTTAAACTGCTCTTTAAACAGGACCGACTTGATATCTCCAGATAAAAAAGATGGTTTAATACCCTTATCCACCTAGCCTGTTATGCATTTCAGGCTGCAAACATACTAGGGGTTTAACCCTTTTGGACTGGATCTGGATTGTTTGACTTTATTCTTGGATTGCATTTGTTAGGCATCATTTTGCCTTTGGGAGCAATGAACTTATACAATACTATATACATGGAGGGAACCCTTGCCTGTGTTCACATTATCATTATTATTATTATTATTATTATCATAATTATTATTCTTCTCGTTACTATTATTATTATCAATATTATTATTTTTATTATTATTATTATTATTTATTATTGTTAAATGCAATTGGTTGGTGTTCCTTGTCCCGGGTTGGTTAAAGATTGAAATCCTGACTCCAATGTTAGATTCAATATCAACTCTAAAATAAAAATACAATTTTATAAGATACCTAAATTGCAACAATTGCAGATTTCAAAAGCCGTTGAAACTTTTCTATAAGTTAAAAAAAACAATATTTATATCACAAAAGGTGTACATTTGAATATTTGAGCTGGGCAAACCTTTGCAGTTCTGTTTTGGACTGTGCCGACAGTTTACAATTACTAAAGTGGCAGAGGAGTGTGTCCTGGGGCTGAATTAAACAAATTGGAAAGAGTTTGCTGAACTACCAACCACTAATTTAAATCCGTAATCACCCATTCAAATTTAAAGATTATGTAGACTTGAATTGGTGATTTAAAATTTGATCCCGCGATCAGTAAAGGTCAACGACCTCTCTCTCAAATTCTTTAAATTCTGTCCTTGGTTAAAAATCAAATGAGTCTTAACTTTAGAACCCATTTACACCCATTAAATGAATATTTTTTTGTTGTGCTGATTCACTTTGATGGCGTTAATTTCTCTGATTCGTTCTTTATTTACATAAAAACTCTCACCTATTATTGGTATTATTAATGCTGTAAATATCATCATATGTATTCCGTCTCGTGGGCTGACTGAGCATACAAATAAATGTTTCAATTTAACCTTAAATGAGCTTTTATTGTTATTTTAGGCGACCCTCAATTTACAAAGCTATTACTTTAAAGAGACTTAAGCATAACTTCAAGTGATCCCCTCTATATGCAGAAATGTCAATTCCCGATTCTTAATTTGGAAAAATGATTATTTTCATTGTGGTTTCTCTACAAAAGTGCCATGCTCATTTCTCTTGAGCTGAGATTTCGAAAGCTTAAATCCAAGTAAAACCAGGCTTATTGAAAGACTCAAGCGCCAATAAACCCCAAGTCAGGATTGGATCTGATTTTACCAATGAAAGACTGCAAAGAAAGCTTTCTCTTTGTAGCAGACAGATCAGCTGTGACAAGGAGATGTAAATTTCGAAAATTCAAACTTCAAGATACATCATTTTCATAGTTTCTTAATTTCATACATTTGATAAAATTTGTCAATAGAAATAATTCCTAGGTTATTAAATGAAATAGTTTTTACGAAATTCACGATCATCAGCTTTTAAAGACCCAAGCCTTCAAGAGCAAAAATACCAAAGAGGTTGGTTTTTACTAAACCCAAGGCCATCCAAAACCCAAGTCTAGACTATAGCTTTACTTGGGTCTAAGTAGACACTGATAGCCTCTGACTGGGTTTCACTTGGATTTAAGCTTTTAAAATCTAAGATCTGGAGGAAAAAAATTGGGAAATTATCAGGGTTTTAAAACCTATTCCACTATTTTTTCTTGAGGTCGCTACCTCGCTACCTTGCTAAAATCTTGTGTAACCGCCTGATATTTATTGTCAAAATTTTAAATCTTATTATGGCATTTTTTCATTGAACAGTCCCTTGTGTATGGAGAGAGAAACTTTGATTGAGATATGGATTCACGACGACCATCTAAAAACATTTGTGATTTTCATTATTCATTCATGCATATTTGTTTTTTAAACCCTTCTTGATACTGGGTGTCCTGATAAACATGGGTATTAAGTGATGAATACGATATCGTCTTTGTTCGCGAAAAAATTAAAGAGGGGTCAGACTGAATCCTAAAAAAGGCAGATTCAGTCGCTCGCTACTAATTTTTACTGTTCTATCTGTTGCATTATTATCAAAATTACATCAAATCTGAAAAAAATGAGGTGGGATCAATGAACAAGAAAATGTACACCCCTGATTTGAAGATTACACAAAGACGACTTTTATTCCGCTAAATACTGGGTATGGCTGTACATTGTACAGTGTACCTGCAGTATTGGACAAATCTTTCAGTTCTTCTAAACGCTCAGAGATGGGATTTCTTTGTGCCAGAATGGGGATTACTAATCCTTCCGGTTCCTGGAGGGACACTTCCGGTTTTACATGTTGTGAATGCACTTCCGGTGTTGAAGATGACGATGCTTTAGGTTGATCAGCAGTCTTGTCAATTTCCGTATCTGTCTGGAGTTGAGATTTTGGCTGCACTGGTTTTATTTTTCTTCCCATTTTAAGCAGTTTTAGATCATCTAATAAAACAGTTCTTTCAAGCATGTGAATAAGGTTAAACCCAAAAAGAATGATACAGACAACTAAAAATTTGTATGAGATATTTTTTGAAAAATATAAAACCAATATAACTATTTAACGCCTAGAAACAAAGTCTCATAATATATTAGTTAGAGTATTTTACTACTGATAAAGTTTGCTAAAGTAAACATGTTTGTTTTTTAAAGTTAAATTTTAAGGTGGAAAATGTAGGAAATTTAAGGTTCAAAAAGTATAAAGGGAGTGTTTGCGAAAAATTAAAGGGGGTTTAGGCAAGGAGAAAACAATCGCATTTGATCGCTACTAATCTTACTTTTATCTGTTGCGTCTATAAAGAGAAAATTGTAAAAACGACTTATACTGAAGAACGCAGCGTCCATACAAATTCAGAAAGTTGCAATATTGTACTCGTTTCGTAAATAATCAGTTTAATTTCAAACAAATCATTCAGATATTACAACCTATAGTCTATGATTATTTTTCGACGCATTCGTATGTAATTAATATTTCATAATATTTGTTATTTATTTTATATACAATGCACTTAATACAACTTTTTTCCGTTAGGTTCCTCTGCCACGTGTAATCATTCAAAGCATCGAGAGCATGAATACATCTGGCGGCCAACTATTTCGGCGTTTTAGTTTTATGTGCGTTGTATACAAATCGAATAAAAATATCATGAAATATTAGCTTTAAACGAATGCGTTGAAAAATAATAGATGACTAAATCAAAATATCTGAATGATTTGTTTGAAATTAAATTGATTTTTTTATGATACAAGTCGTAAATTGCAACTTTCTAGATGTGTTTGGACGCTCTGTTCTTCAGTATGAGTCGTTTTTTAACAATTTTCTCCTTACAGACGAAACAGATATAAGTAAGATTAGTAACAATCAAAAGCGATTATTTTTCCCCCTTTAATTTTTCGCGAACACTCCCTTTAAAGTAGGAAAAATAGGAAATGATATGGATTTCACAATCACAATTGAAGTATGTTTTTGGGGTGTTTTATACGAAAAAAAACATGTTATTTTCACAATCGGAAGGTGGACCAAAATTTGCTGCAAAGACGAGTGTAAAGTGGCTCATTTGTGTTTATTTGATATCAGTATTTTTTTAATCTTTTTTTTCGTGAGAACAAGAAAACTGTGAAATAGGAAGACATCATTTAAGCAATAATTACGTGTAATTGATGTTATTACAAAACAAATAGTCTTACTGCAGTAGTCGGCGTTTTATATCAATACATTGAAGACGACTTTTGTAATTAAGTTTTGAAATTTCACAAGCTTTTTCACATTACAAGTTCTCACGTAAGCACATGCAGTACAATTGCCCTGTCTCATATTAATTGAACTACTTAAAGTCATAACTTGAATCTAAAAGTTGCAATGTCTACTTATTCCAGAGTTTCTGGTTTTCACTGTATAAAAAACAAGAAATCCTCCAAGTATATCGGATGCTGAGTACACGAGAACTGGATTAACGAACACGAAGTATTGATCTTGAAAAGATTAAATGTAAAAGAATTAAGATAGAATTAATTAATTCGTATTATCATGGGGAATATACGGATATGGAAAGATCTTAAGTTTGCATGATTTTAAAAAGATACAGTGTAATCTACTCTGGATGAGACAATAATGACGACCTAAAGCTAAAAAAAATTACAGAACTTCTAAGACATCGAAAGTATAAAATGTCGTCTTGACAATTTTTTAAATCTCAGTAATTGTAAAAATAAATAAATAGCCATGAAATATGCGAAAACAATTTTCAAGAGCTTTATATAATTATTTAACAAAAAACGAAATATCTGCAGAATTCTATTATCAGTAGGTTAAGAAAACGACATTTTACTAATTTTTTTCGAATTCTCCAAAGTTCTTGGTTAAACTGTAAGTTATTGTTGACATGACTTAAAAGTTTCATGGTAACCAATGTGGATGCAAGACTATGACGACAAAAAATAAATTGTTTGCATAAATTTAAAATGATACAGAGCTTTTCAAAA